TGATACAAGTTGATTAACACCACCTAATTTTGCATTGAATTTTTGTACCAAATTCTTTTCAAAATTTATTTATTTTAATTAATTAAAAAATAAAAAAAACAAACATACTTGAATATACATATCCATTTTACGATTATCACTATTTGACATAAGTCGATCAAAACGTGTACATTGTGTTACTATACCTTAACAAAAAAAAAAAATACAAATTTCTTTTTTAATACTAAATAGTAAACTAGTCTAATGATAATGAATAATCAATTTTTCGATCAGAATAATAGAAAACTTTCAGACTTAAATTCAATCAAACCGATGGACTCTAGACAAGGCAAAGAGTTTCTAATATGAATCATCTGAATCAATGTATTATTCATGTTGAAGCTAGGAAGAGCAGATTTATTTTCTATTTCTCGAGTTCGGAACTGCTTTGCCTTCGCACCAGAAAATACAGGAGTGTTATCAGATCGACACAAATGGAGAGATGATAACTTAGGAAACAAATTGAAAGACTTTAGACTTGGTAAGATTAGTCATGTTTTTTTTTGGAAATAGGTGAGCAAAAAACCAGAAAGTAAGATTTTTTCCAGATTGGAGGGATGATGTCTCTCGCTCGAGCCACCATCCCTCTATTAATAGATGATAAAAATGATTTAAAGTCTTACCAAGTTTAACATTTCCAAAAAATTTAATAGCATGATAAATATCATCACCAACTTGGTTAAGAATATAAATAATAACTTCACATCCTTGCATTTTAAGTTCATTCATTCGAGCTAAAATTGTTTGTGGTACAGCTGCATCAGATTTTTCAATAGGTGATGAATTAAATCGAATACCATATTTTGACATAGCCTTTAATTCAAAAACAAAAAACAAAAAGTTTTTATTTCTTTAACATTAATAAACAAAAAACCTGTGGAATTTTTTGAGCAAAATCTCTTGCTAAACGAATTTGTCGATTATCAGGTTCACGTTGACTAACAAGAACAACAGCCCATGTACGTATTTCACGTGCTTTATTAAAACGATTATTTAACCACCATTTGCCAATTTGTACACGTTCAATAGCATCACGTTGATCACCATGTGCTGATTTATATTTTATTTCAGGTGATGGTAAAATTCTTGCATTTAACATAATCATTTCATTAACATCAACATCAATACCAAATTTTTCAAGATATAAATCTTTATTAAAACAACGTTCATCAGCAATACGTCGTATCATTCCATAACGTTCACCAGGACGAACAACAGTTTTTTTTGTTACTTTAGCACGTTGATCAGTTGTTAATGGTTTTAAACTTCGTTGCCATTCATCAACAGTAACTAATTCCATTGGTAAAAAATGTGATTGATTTTTAATAGCTGGATTATATAATTCAACAACAGGTAAATCTGGATAACGTAAACGAATATTCCATTTATCGTTAAAATAATCAGCAACTGTTATTTGTTCATTTTCATTTTTCATAAATTTATGTTCATTTGATGAACGACCAAAAGATTTTAAACGATATCGACGTATTTGATTTGTATGTGATGTTATAAACCAAAGTGATTTTAAAATCTTTCGCACAAGTAATACATGATCTTTTGGTGGAATACCTACAAAAATAAAATAATCAAATATTTTGATTGAAAACAAGTTGTTGTTTTTTGTTGATAACTCACCATGTTTTCGAATATCATGACTTAAATAACAAGAAAGAAATTCAACTAAATTATAATTTTGATAAAAACAACAAAATGTATTATTAATATTTAATGTAGGACCACGTTCACCAAGTACAATTGCTTGATAAAATCCTGATGCTAAACCACGACCATCGCCTAAACACAAAAGAAAAAAAAATTTTTTTTTAAATTTTTCAATTTATTATTCTACCAAGATCATCTAATCGTTGATGTTTTGGATAAGATTGATTTTTAATTGTAATCATATCTGATCTTTGTGTTTGTTTAAATAATGTTTCAAGTATTCGAATAGGATCATGTGGTCGTTGAGAAATTTTTTTTTGTATAAAATCAAAAATATTTTTTAATTCATATGTTTTAACAAGATTAATAATTAAAAAACGAAATTTATTTGTTCGTCCAGTTTTTTTATGTTGAATTTCACATTGATATTCTTTTTTACATTTTAATGTTAAATTTTCAATTGAATATAAATTTTTTCCTTCATCATACCAAATGAGTGGAAAATTTTCTTCTTCAAGAATTTTTTTTAAAACTTGTAAACGTTCATCTTTTCGACATGAACGCCATGAACCATCACGCATTAATAATTCAACATCAACATCAAATTGATATAATACTAATTCATTTGATTCTTTTGAGAAATTTATTCGAAAATGATTTGTATAAAGTTCGGTTTGTTCACCAACTTAAAAGACAAAAAAAAATCATATTCAAATGAAATAAAATAAAAAAAATCCAATACCATGTCCTGATTGTGATGGTCGTTTAATAATTGTTGTTAATTGTGAATTTGGTACAGCTGAACGAATTATTGGACGTGCAAATGAACGTGAACGTTTTTTTATATCATTTCCATTAGTATTATCAGATGGAGCTTTTGCTGTTGTAACACCATATAAACCATTTTCAGTTTGTCCATTACGATATGTTGTTTCATTGATTATGCCAGTTGAAGAATGTGCACGACGTTGAGCATAATCCGATGATATTTCATCGATACGACTTGTACGAGCTAATATATATATATATATATATATTTTTTTTTTCTTATATTTTTAATTATATGCAACTTACCACGTTTTGATGAATGCAAATCTCGATCATAATCATCTATTAAGAAAAAAAAATTAAGATAAATATATGAGATTAATTAAAATAAATATATGAATACCATCTGAATGATCTCGACCCTTATTTGATAACATTTATTGTAAATATGAAGTTATTATTTAACAAAACTAAAAACAAAACAAAATCAAAGAATATTTATTTGAATAGAAACATTCGTCCGTCTCTCACTTTAAAAAAATAGAAATGTTATGTAAACTATATCGTCTATCGATTAAAATTAACGATTATATATTATTTGGCCTATAAGAACATCCGAGACGGACGAGTGAATACATAGAAATACACGTGTATAGAAGAGAAAACAAAGATAATCGGCAGCGTCGAACGATACTAAGAGAAACTTTCCTGGACGACATAAAATGGGTAAAAATTAAAGACGATCATGTGATAGTCTATTCTATGATTATAATCTCTTTCCTTCTCTCCTCTCTCTCTTTTTCCTTTTTTCATATTCAGATAAAGAAAGTGTGTATTTGCCTAGTCGATGAACAACAAAAGCTATGTATAACAAACAACATAAAGAATAAATATATGAATAGATAAAGTCAATGAATGATTATATAAAATACTGGTAATCTTTGGATATTACAACAAAAGCAAATCATATTTCATATCTAAATAGCTTCTATTGTTTGATAATTTTGAATTCTTATTTTAAATAAAGAATTAAAATAAATCATCATTTCCTAGAGAATATAGATAATATAATTACAAGACAAAACTAAACACTAAACTGTTGACGCATTCTTTTGTATGAAATTTTTTGAAAAATATTTTTAATATGCTCTTCTCAAAATAAATTATTAGAATTTATGAAAAAATTTTATACATATTTGATAATAAAGAAAATCTTCTATTACAGTCTATTGGTTCATTGTGGGTTTCGATTCAAGAGGTTCTATAGAATATTCATTTAGGAAGGATTCCATCGTCTGATATTGTAGATCATATCAGAAAAGTGCGAGTTTGATCTTTTATTGATCGACCATATAAACAACAATGCTTATAATAAAACTGATAAGATAAATTTTTATCTCATCATTGAAAATTAATCGGAATGTTTAAGTGAAACAGGCGAAGATATCATTCTACTTTTTTTTTTCTTTAGCAATAATATCATTAAACACGTTGTTTCATAAGTCTTGAGTTTCGACATAATTAGATTATATGCAGACAGAAAATAATCTCTAATCGAATGTTTTAATATGAATATAAAGTATTTGTGTCAATATCTTTCAAATAACATATTATTGGATAATATCTGGTGTTTGTGATAATAAAAATATACATATGAGAATGTAAAGATAAATCTTTCACAATTGATTATCATGATATTTTATTTAAAAAAAAACCACTCTTATATTAGTCTGATTACAGAAAAATCTCATTTAACTATGACATATTTATTGTGTACTACTTTTTTGTTAATTCATTCAGTATCTTAGAAATTTTATCATCAATCATTACAAGTTGTTTAAAATTTGAAAATCATTCTCCTTGTATTTTTTCTTTAATATTCTTCATACACTTTCAATCGGCCGAAGGTCAATAAATTTAACTTCACCTTCTTCATCTCAAAACTCAATTATAAAATAATTCACTAATAGTCGTAAATACAATTGTTGTTTTCTTCTTTGTTTTTCGTTCTGCACGCGACATTTTTCATGTATTTTATCCGATTACTGAGTACATAGTTTGACTGAACATATAACCAGTGTATGATGGTACTGACCATCAAATAAACGAATAAGATAAATAATTATTGGTTTGTACTACGCTATTTATTAAACAATCAAGTAGATCTATTGCGAACAATTCATCCTTACATTTTCATATTTGTATTATTACTATTACTGATTTGAAAGGTTTGCATAAGTACTTAAGGCTTATATCCAAAACATTCGATTACGAATATGAAACTTTCACCTTTATACTTAAAAACTCACAAGCACGAAAAAGTACGAGTGATATTTATTTTATCTTGCGGTAACTAAAATAGAACGCAAAAAGTATATTTTAGATATCTGCCTTCATTCGTTACACGTGTCGAATCGTTTTCTTTGTGTTTTACTGAGGCTTCACAAAGAGAAAAAAAAACCAACGAACAAGATTGTTAGTGCATTGTTATATCACATCTATTTTAGTTTATTAAGCAATTCTATTAAAACATGACTCGAAAACTTCAGCGTTTAGCAATAATTAGTAGTGTTTTAATAATTCTGTTTGCATATTTATACCATGTACCAAATAGTGAAGGTGTTCCACAAATGAATCGTATTCGTTTACTTAGTGGTTCAATGAAAATAATCAAGTTTATTGTAAGTATAGTCGTTTAAAAATCTTGATATTTTCATTTTCATTTTTGTTTATTTATATAGGGTAAAATATCTGAAATATTTGGTTTGGCTCCTGCATGGTCTATTCAGCGACATAGTGGTCTTATCTTAAAGAAATTAAAACCAGCTGAAGTCAATGTTAATTTAAAAGTATTATGAAAAAATTTTATTTTTCATTGTTTTGTTTTTTGTTCACGAAGATTTTTCATATAGATTGAAAATACAACAATCGAAGACGTACCTGTACGTATTTATTCTCCATTAAATTTAAATGATGATAAAACGAAACATCTTCCAGCGATTATCTTTTTTCATGGAGGAGCATTTTATATGGGTTCAATTGGTTAGTATACTTTGATTTAGTTTTTTTTTTTTTTTTATATAATTTATTATTTTAGAAACGCATCATCCAATTACACTTAGATTAGCTCTTCAAACTGGTTTTATTGTTATTTCTGTTGAGTAAAGTTTCGATTGATATTTATATTTAAATATGAAAAAAAAAACTTATTAAATTTTATGTAAAGATATCGTCTTGCACCTGAACATCCTTTTCCAGCTGGACTTAATGATTGTTTTAAAGTAACTCAATATGTTCTCGATTCAAATAATGCAAAAAAATTACATATTGATTCAAAACGTGTTGCTATTTCGGGCGATTCAGCTGGTATGAAATTCTTTTTTTTTGTTTTTTGAAAATCTATTTACAACTTTTATTGATATTATAATTATTAGGTGGTAATTTCGCTGCTGTTATTGCAATGCGATTTGCTAATAATTCAAACAAAATTAATGTTCCTCGTGTTCAAGTGTTGATATATCCTGTTGTTCAATTCTTTGATTTTATGGTTCCTTCATATCTAACACCAGCTTTACATATTTTTCATTTTGGAAGACGTGGTGAAATTCTTGAATTTTATCTGAACAAAAGTATTAGTGATGATGTACTCATTAATAATCATACCAGTATTGAACAAAAGAAACAATATCGTCAATTTGTTGATTGGTCATTAATTCCAAATAAATATCGAAAAGTATATAAAGAATCAATAACTGATAATATAGAAGGTAATCCTAAACTTATAGAAAATGCTAAACAAGCATTAGATCCAGATGTATCACCATTGTTAGTTAACAATAAAGAATTATCTAAATTACCATCAACTTATATACTTACTGTTGATCATGATCGATTACGAGATGAAGGTTTTATATATGCAGCTCGTTTAAAAGCAAGTGGAGTTAATGTCATACATCATCATTTTGATAATACTTTTCATGGATCATTAACTTTTCTCGAAGGATTATTTCAATTAGATATTGCTCATGAAATGCTTGCTGATATTGTTCAATATCTGAAAGAAAATCTTTGAACATTTAATTTTTATTTTTTTTGATTTATTATTAAAAATATTATTAAGAAATTATTATATTTTATCATTTTTAAATAAAAATTAAACTAAAGATTCATTCAACAAACAAAAAAAAGAAAAGGATCCTTGTTTTTTATTATCATTGTTCTGATCAACACATTATATAATTGAAAATTAGGTTTAATTCAAAACTGGATACCTAATCAATCATAAATTGGAAAATCAAAATTAAATGAGGTGAACCATCAATAACATAGAATAAACTTTGAGAGCCAGCTAATTTTAAAGTTAAAGATAATAATATTTCGAATTTTCAATGATAGAACACTTGTTTTTTTTTATTGCAAGGAAGTTAGTGAATTGGTGGCTCAAGAGCTTTACTTGTGCGTTTTCATTATCTGACATAAATTTTAGCATTTAAATGAATTACTGTTCTAAAAAATTCTTCTAGGTACATCAATATAGTTTCATTCATAAAAATTATTTTGATTTCTTCTTGTTATTCTCTTAGGTAACAACTGAAAATTCTCTATAGATCGATTCAAATGTATTTTTCTTGCTTGACTTAATAGTAAGATTTATTTAGATTTTCTTTATGAAAGAAGAAAGGTTTGAATAAATTTCTATCATTAACCATAAATTTATCTCATTTAATTAAACAAAATAAGGATTTTTTTATTTTGAGTTATCGTATTATTGATAGTCTACATAGTACTTAATTTATGTGTATGCTTATTACAGGGTTATGTGTGTGTGTGGAAGTTTGACCTTGAATTCTTACTTCGAGAACATATATACACTGTAATCTTTTTTTTTGTTTGCAAGTGATCTCATTTTGTAGATATAGAAGGACAAGAACTTAATGTACTGTAACAACGAGTTCTATGTACACTATTAGTATATCACGATGTTTTGGTAAATATGTTCGAGTCTATGAATTCTGACGATAACAGTAACATTTTGAATCTAATATAGTTCTGTGTAAGAGTATAAAAGACACGAATATGTAATAATATAATATTGATGTATAGTTGAAATAGATACGAGACAAAGATTATAATTACATTTGCTTTAGTAATTTGACTTTTTATGCATTTATGTTTTATATAATTGAAAAATAAATTGATAGTATATTATATATATTTAATTGTTGCTTTAGGATATAATGTGTTTTTGTATTTGCTTATCAATACTCTTTCACATACGGATTTAGAATTCCAGACTAATTACTTCGTATTTGTTGTTTAGTTGCATTACATTGAAAAATGGAAAAGAAAAAGTATCAAAAGAAATCAAATATTCGAAAATGACTATATCAATAAGTAAAATGTTGCAAGAGAGTTTCATTAAAAAAACATAAGAAAAACAGGTTAGATTTTTGTTTGGTTACATAAATGATGTGTCGTTGATCAACTACTTCTACTTTGATCATATAAACTGTCGAAATACACTTTTTGTTTTTGCTTTTTCAAATAAAATAAGCTATATAAAAGAGGAGATTGTTTTCATTGTTTTCAATTATATATTCGAGTTTTGAATAATGAGTACTATGTTCCTGTATGTATGCTTCTTACAACCATTTTGTATCTTCTTAGGATCGTCGAAGAAACTTTTGAAATTCGAAGTAACAATCTTCTTAGAACAAATCAATAGTGGAAATTCTATTTCTTTTCACAGATCTAACACAATCTTTGTAGATCATTAGATCAGGTTGATAGTAGAACAAAGACACTGAGTTGTTCAAAATGGTTAGTATGATCTTACATATTGTACGTATACATTATTCTTATAAATCAAAAACTAATTGATACCATAGAAGCAACACTTCATGATTTGAATAAATGATAACATCATTTATTAAATATGTTCTATCAGACTTTTATCAACTGAATCAGCTCGATATTTATTTATAAATAATGAATTGTTAACTAATTTTTTTTCCATATAATAATAACCAATGATTTGCTGGAATATTTAGATTAAATATTTATTTTTCGAAAAAAGTTTTATCGAATTTTTTATGTTAGTTAGATGGAAAATAGCTTTGACTTCTACTAGAAATACTGAAGATCCCGGTAGGAAAATATCTGAAAGAAGAGGATCATTCAGATTCTCACAATCCTTAAAACTCATATTAGAAGATCAGTTGACTAGCATAACCTTCAAAGAACTCTTGTATTCTATGTATTGTGGCTGAACTATAAGATTTTTTTTTCTTTTAGAACATTGTAAAAATTTGAATGATTTTCTTGCTCTCTACATGTTCCTAGAAAATGACCTGAATATCCAGTATTTCTGGTAGAAGTCAAAGCTATTTTCCATTTAACCAGTACAAAAACAAAAACTTTTTCGCAAAAAGTGATTTGATATACGCTTATGTTAATTGTCAATACATTATAAACAAAAACAAATGTTTATTTATTCAAAAATAACGCGTATGGATTTGATCAAGAAAATAAATTTGATATAATTTATGTATAAACTCTACATTTCTCTCTTGTTTTCATTTATTTTTAAGTTTATACGATATGCTCATTAGTGATTAACTTTGTTTTTGTTTTGAATCACACAGAAAGAAACACTAAATAAATAAATGTTCGAATAAAAATAATTTCTATTTAAATTCGCCAATCAAGTTGATTACTATCATGAGTTGTACTTGATGATCTATTTCCTACTAGATAATCTTGTTCATGTTGAAATGTTGGATGTTCTCTTAATTGTTGTTGTCCACCAGCACTCATTTGTTCATATACTTGAGGATCAATTTTAACAACTGGTAAACGAACAAGTTCAACTTCAATAAGTGCACGTGGTTTCGAATAGGAAATAATTAAATTATGTGGAGATGGTGGTGTTTGAAGAGCTTCACGTGGTAAAGAATGTTTAATAATTCGTTTTGGTGCAGGTTTATAAGGTAACCATTGTTCAACAATAATAGGACCTTTAAATTAATTTAATATGAAAATTAAAAAAATAAGAAAATGAAAAAACAAACAAACATACGCGGCTTTGGTGGCATGTCAGGATAACGATGAATGATTATCTAAGAAAGGATTAAAAAAATAATTTTCTCTTTGTTTTTAGAATAAAGGAAAAAAATCTAACCTGTGGTGGTGGTTGTTTTGGTGGTGGAAGATATTTATTGTAAATAATTGGTTGATTTGATTCAATTGGTGGAGGTGGTGGTGGTTGAGTTTTAATAGTTATTGGTGGAGGAGTTCGAGGTTCACGTTGACCAATATGAACATGAATTGGTGGTTTTTGAATTTCTGGTTTAATTAAAACTTCTTGAATTTGAACTTCAATTGGCTGTGGTGTTGGTGGTTGTAATTGACGTAAAAAAACTCTTTGTCTATATACTTGTTCTTGACTTTCACGTTCTTCATGAATTGGATTTGGATCTAAATTTAAGTCTGCCATTGAATCATCTAAACTAGTTGCCTACAGAAAAGAAAAAATAAAGATAAATTTTTATTTCAAAATTTTTGTTTTTTTTTTCTTACGTGTCGTGTTGGTAAAGGACTTCGAAATTCTTCATCACTATATGGACTTTGTCCACCTGATCGTTGTACATTAGTTCTATTTTTAGCTTTAGTATCATATAGATAGGGTCGAAAAGCTGAAACATTTTCATAATCTCGATCAATATTAGGTTTTGTACTAATTTCTACTTGAGTTTGTGTTAAATCAATATGTTCACCAGTATTTTTTCCATGTTGAGTTAATAGATCTGTAACATAATTTGTAATTGAATTTTTTTTAGTTCTTCTTTTTGATGATTTTCTTTGTTGATCTTCTATAGATGATGTTTCATCATTGTAATCAGATGATGATAGATCGGCAGTCGTGGCCTGTTTGGCCATTGTTTTATAATATATATTCTAAAGGTAACGAATTACACTATTTGTTTACTTATAAATCATGTAAAAAAAAAAAGACGTTTACAAAATTATATATATATCAGTCCTTGTTATGTGTATACATAAGCAGCCAATCGTAGACAAAGTGATATGTTGCTTTTTTTACCTTCAAATCATTGTCAGTCATTACACTTTTTTTCTTTCTTTCTTACTTTTTCAGTGTGAATAATCGATGGTATTTAATCATTCATGCGCGAACCATAAATCAAAATGAGGATGGTGTTATTGATAAATAACGTCTGGAGTTTGTTTTTTTTCATTACAAAAAACTTATATAAGAAAGAATCTATTTTGAACAATTCAACTTTTTGTTATTCAATATAAGTATATTGTTAATTGAAAATTATTATAAAAGTTTCGATTTTTTTATCACTTTTTCAGAATTTATCTTACGAGGAAAGGTTCTCAACTGATCAACGCTGTTTTCAATGATATTTTTTCCATGTGTTGGTAACAGTATTCTAAGAAAAATATTAAGAGGATTTGTGTCCATGTGCCTTTCTTCGAAGGTGATTACCATTTTACCGATTTTTTTTTACCTAGTACAACGTACAGTGCGGGTCAAAAGTCTTGTACTATTTTTTTTTCTTTTGAGTCATGTATTAAAACTACATAAGATTAATTTAATTCAATTATATGTTTGGATAGCAGAGATCGAGTACTATATATACCTGTTCGATTGAGAAAATTGTTGAATATAAAATACAATACGAAAAACAATCTTTAGTACTAAGGAAAAAAATGACATAAAAAACGACAAAATGATATTGTTGTTATAGGATACTTCCATAGTCAGTCAACCATGAAAAACATAAAATATGCCGAAAACTTTTCCTTTTATCAGACTCTGTAGAGCTTTTTTTTTCACTGATTATTTTGATGAAAAAAAAAACATTTTGAATTTTATTGAGAAATGACGGTATTATAATCAAGATATTAAATACTGTGAAATACTGAGTGTTCCAAAATGTTTGCAACATAGTTTGTTTTGCAAATATCTCTGCACCACAGACAAATGATAAAATCTTGGTTTTTATTTCAAAAGATGCATTGCATAAAGAAATTCCTATTGCACAACAAAAACCCTTCCAAACATTTTTATTATCATTAAACCCTCTTAAGATTTTTCTTAGAATATTGTCTCCCACATATGAACAAAATATCATAGAAAATGGCATGGATCAGTTGAGAAGTTTTCCTCGTTAGTTTATGTATTGAGGACTATGTTTTTGTAATTTTATCAAGTTTTTCTGGAATTTTTCGAAAAAAAAAAGTAAGTGTAAGTTTTTAGTTGAAGTTTTGTATCCACACCCCTCTATTACAAACCTTAGCAGCCGGATTCATTATTGATTATATTTCCATAGCAACCGAGGAGAACAAGGCATTCGACTCCTTTCGTAGAGTTTCTTGAAATCTGTTTGTGAATGTTTTTGAATAGTGTAGATAAAAATTGATACTAAAGATATCAAGAATGATAGGTAATGATGCATTGATTTACCACAAATCATCCTTTGATCAACATAAAAAGCGTGAACTGATTGAGTCATAAATTCTACAATATAATCATTTTTTAAATATATTCTAAGAAAAATGGCTACGACTTTTTGGAAGCAGAATTATTCAAAACTTACGAATATTCGTCGTTTGTAACGGATAGTATGGATGCGAGCGTGGATTTGTATAATCTCTTTACAAATCCACACTCTCAAGGATGGACCGGCGAAAAGTTCGTGATTGGTAGGAATGTTTATATGGAGCTAGCTAAGTGGTAATAGAACAAGAGGATATCTTTCGAGGCCCTTTTAGTCGTGGTTTAGTGTCAATAAACAGGCAATGATTTCTATCTTACTTTTATCAATCGGTAAAATTTGTCGTGTTATTCAGTTTGCTCTAGGGAAGGTCTAGTAGATTCTGTTTTCCTGATAAGAAGAGTACTGTTGAATACAATTGTTTATGATTATTTCATAACTGAAAATGAAAATTGTCATGAATAATAAATAGTATATCTTCATTCGAAGAAATTCACATTTAAGATATGATGAAGATCGAATACCTCTATAGTGCTTTATATAGTTGGATTGATTTTTGGAATTTTGTTTTTCTTTTTTTCAAAATAATCTTGTCTTGAAAGGATTAATCTATGAGTCTCATTAAAATTTCGAACATATATATGCGGAAAGATCACAATCCATTTAAAAAAAAAAAACTTTTTTTTACATAGGAAAATTCTGTTTCAAACCTAATGCTTTAAATATTCTACTACCTCCCATGATTGACCGAAAAAATGAAGAAGCATTTTGAGAACTTTCGCATCATCTGTTAATTTGGTTGTATTGCAAAAAATCATAGAGATTATTTGAATGATTAGAAAAATGATAATAATTTAATATTGACACAATCTTGAAAAACTTCTATGCAATGGTGAAAATAGTTTGCAAAAGATGTTTTGTTTTTAATATAAAAATAACTGTGAACGAGTAGAGAATTCAGTATAAGAAGCGACAGGTAGTAAAATATTTAAAATCAATTTTTTTGCTGTTCAACGATAAAGAATATGTGAAAGATTGTTTTTCGTTCTATTCTTTTGATTATTTGTCTTGGAATCCAATATGATTTCTTTCATATAGAATTCAGACTTGTCAGAGCGAAAAAAGAAAAGAAAAAGAAGGCATCGAAAGAAAACCTTCTCGTTGATTGGATATAAAAAAACAAAACAGAGAATTTTTTCTTAAAGTTGAGGGTAAATCAAAAAAAAAAACGCTTATTTGGTATGATTATTTAAAATTAATTCATGAAGAATTCTTTATTATCAAAGTCTCGTTATATAGTTCGATATAATGATGATGATCTTCGTCGTTTTCTATCAAGAATTACAATTACTAAATTTATTGGATTTGTTTTTGGAACTCTAATCACATTAATTATTATTTATTATTTATTACATGAAAATCAACCAAAACAAACATTCATATTTATAAATAAGAATTCTTCATATGAACGAAAATTTTCTCATCAATATTCTTTTGTAGCTAATGAAAAAGTAATTCCAGATTATGTAAATAAAATATTCGATAAAGCTCAATCACCAACATGTTTAGTTATAATTCGTACAGCTGATGGTGGTATTGGAAATCGAATGTTTTTATTTGCTAGTGCTTATGGTTTTGCTCGTCTTCATCAATGTAATCTTTATGTTGCTCCATGGATTATAAGAGATCTTCGTTCAATATTTCTTATTAATTTAAATAATACACCTATTCATTTAATAACAAATGATTCAGTTGTTAATCAAACTGGAATCTATGGACGATATAGTGCATGTACTTTATTTAATGATTTATTAAAAGTTCCATTAAATTCAAATTTAACTCGATATGAAATGATTGGATTTTATCAATCATTTGGATATTTTATTAAATATAAAACAGAAATATCATATTTATTTCAATTTAATCAAGCTTCAATTCTCAGAAATGTTGAATTAGTTGAACAACTTCTTCAAGGTTTGATTTCTCTTTGACAATGATTAGTCGTATCAAATTCAACAAAACACAGAAAAAAAGACAAAAAAATGAAATTAAATTCTAGCAATCTGTTGAAATTGAGACTAACGAGAGAGATTTCGAAAAAATGATTAATTGCTTTTAAGTCGAGACTAAAATGCAGTATTTCGACAGCAATAATCTAAGAGCTCGAACTGTCTTAAGTATATTTATAGCTCATTAGCATCTACATGAAGCAATTAATCAATTAGACGACTTCAAACGTGAGTAGTTTAATTTTTGATTGAATTAATAATTAAATCAATCTTACAATAAACTTATCTTCTTGTTCAATCAGATAGACTGAGAGTTGTTTCTGAAGGTCACCAATGACCTATGTTTGTAGTAGGAAGGAAAATTCAATAATTTTGTATATCGTTCTGTCAAATAGACTAAAAGTCAGTATAATCAATACATTAGAATCGACTTGAACCTTTTCGAATTATTAAGTTAATGATTTTAAGGTAAAGAAAAAAAAATTAAATTCGATTTTTCAATGATGTATCTTAAGAAAATTTACGCATTAACTAATGAAGAATCTAGTCTCGAACACTTTTCTAATGTATTTAAGACATATAATGCTCTGTTTTTTAAGTTACATATGAATTGAAACGAAAGAATTATTTTTTCTCGATATGAATTATTTATATAGAAATAATGAAAACCTAACATTTACTTGTTATGATTATTTTAAAGCAAAATAATGATTCATATCTTCAAAAATTTCCACTATCCAATGTCACAATCTCATATGGTTGTCAATCAAAATTATAATTAGACAAATTTCTAAGCGTACATGTGTAAGATTGAGAGTATAAACTAATATTTTTCAACATCAGATGAATTATATGTTAGAAAATAATGTTCTTTTATTAGAACTAGTTTTATTTTAAAAAATTCGTTATAAAAATCTTTCAGTTATGAAAAATAAAAAGTAAATCTTTTTTTCCTTTTCAGTTGTTTGGAATATTTCATTAAATCTTGGTAATTATACAAAAGATAATGTAACTCATTATTATTTAAAATCTGTTTTAACTCGTCCACCAGCTCCATTAATACCTGTAACATGGATTGGAATTCATATACGTCGTGGTGATTTTTTAACATTTTTTAAAATTAATACAAGTATTGAATATTTAAATTTTGCAATGAATTATTATCGTCGAAAATATATTAATTGTCGTTTTTTAATAGCTAGTGATGATAAAATTTATGCTAAAACATATCTGGGAAATAATTCGGATGTTTTTATAACTCCAACATCCTTTCATTCAGGAGAAGATTTAGCTGCATTAGCTTTATGTGAACATACAATTGTAACAGCAGGTACTTTTAGTTGGTGGGCAGGATGGTTAGCTGGTGGAAATGTTATTCATGATATTAATTATCCTGTATCATGGCAAAATTGTATACGAGATCATTATTTTCCACCTTGGTTTCTTTTTCCACATAATAGAACTAGTTAATAATGAAAAATTATTAATTTCAAATAAATTTAATATTTCAATTAAGATTTTGTGTTTTTAAATAAAACATCTTGATAAAATTCTCTTGACATATCTATTTTTTGTTTTATATTCTTGTTTTGTTTTGTTTTGTTTTTCTTCGAGTAATAATGACAATGAAACAAAAATGGAGACAAAGCTAAAGAACAACTACAAACACACTACAAAATAAAAAGAGGCAAATATGTACACACGTGCAACAAAGAAAAAATTTTAAAAAAAAAGAAATGTTAATTAAGTAGACGGTGCCGATGTCGACGTTGCATTTGTTTTCGATGCTGAATCAGGTGCTAATGTACGAATAAGACTTGCAGCCATTTCAAAAAATTCCATTACTTCTGATACAGGTTCATCTGTTGATGATGACATTGTATTATCACTATCTCCAAGTTCCCAACTTATTGTACGATTTGGTTCAAGATTTTCCATTTCATTATCATCACCAAGAACACCTACAGAAATTAAAAACAAAAATTAAATCAAATAAAAACAAATTAGACAAACCAGATTGAGCAGAAAGCATTGGATGATGACCATCTGTATTTGCATTTAAATTACGAAAATCTAATAAATATGATCTATGATCAACTTGATATAATTGAAGACCCAATTTAACCTTAGAAGATAGATATGATAATTTCAATAAGAAAAAGATAAAATAAGCACTGGTGGTTCAGTGGTAGAATGCTCGCCTGCCACGCGGGCGACCCGGGTCCGATTCCCGGCCAGTGCATGTTTTTTTAGCTATTTATTATCACTTACATATCGATCAGTATTTGGAACTTTACGTCGTGTTCGAACGCTATACATACTATTATTACAAAACTTCCATTCCTAAATTTAATAAAAAAAAATGATTCAAAAAAAAAAAAAAAGAAAAATTTAAACTGACTATTCCTAATTCTTTCATCGCTTTAAATACTTCATTCATAATATCTTGTGGTTTTGATTGAGATCTAATACCTAAATGCCATTTAGCTTTTTTTAATGACGTTGCACCTGATCCACTATTTCCTGTTGCTGTTGAACTTGAAACTCTTTGATGATGAGATGTATGATGATGAGAATTATTTGTATTATGAGGAGAAGAATTATTTGGAACATTATTTGGATCAATTGGATCTAACGTTACACTTAAATCTTTTAAAGCTAAATTATAAAATAAAACAAAATAATAATAATAAAGTCTCATGTCAATATAAAAGTTAACCTGGCATTTTTTCTGGATGTGGCCGAATTGGAGATGATTTCTATTTTAGAAAGAAAATATGTAAGAAATATTTTTTTAAATCTTGTTTTAAGTAGAAGTTAAAACGAATATATAAGGTAATAGAAGGATAGAGTAAATAGTAATTGAAAAAAAGTAAACGTAATAAACCATCGATTTGTTTAATTTATAGGCAAAAGTTTACAACCTGTGTTAAATAAGGTGGTTTTTGAAACTATAGAAAAGAAAATAATAATAAATAATCCATTCTCAAATTTCAATAGAAGCAAAACATAAAAAGTATAAATAATATTAATTATCAATACAAAAACTATATATATCAGAATAAAATACATAAGTACAAACGATAACTCACAAATGGTGATGGAGCACGAGCTGATGATGAATTTGGCTAGAATTTTTTTTATGTTTTAATTTACTAAATAAATATTTAACTTACAGTCATAGATAAAAATGCTGAATGAGGTGGACTTGATGCAGAAAAAAAATCAGCTATTTCCACTTTTCGAGCTACAAAAAAAAAATCAAATTTATTTTAAATAATAATTATTGTAAAAACAACAAAATAACGATCAAACCTTCGTTCCATATTCGTTTATTATCAATTATTAAATGATAAGCAATAACTAATTGATCATGACGATCATTAATTAATAATGCTTCTTGAACTTCAGCTTCATTAACACCAAATTTCTTTAATTTAAATTATTTATAGAAAAAAAAAATTAAATTTTATTTTTAAAATTTACCTCACAAACTTCTTGTATAGCATCAAGATCAACAATATTTGTACTATCTTCACCTGTTTTTGGAAATAAATAATCAGGTAAATTTACTTTAAACCATTCATGTTCTCTAAAATATAAATATAAAATCAAACAAAAAATATAATTAAATTAAGATAACCTTATTTCTTTTATTGTTGCACGACGAACAGGATCAACAGTAAGCATTTTTTGAAGAAGATCAACTACTGATGGATTTAAATAATCAGGAATAGGAAATATTCCAGCTACGAAAACAAAAGCCAAAAAATTAGTATTAAATATTTAAAAAAAAACGATATTCATTATCTTAATGCAAAACAAAGCGTTTTATCTTGCAAAACTTTCATATCATCATCATAAACTCAGTTTGTATAAGTTGACATACATGCTATTGGTCATATTAGAGATCGTTTCAGTTTTATTTTTAAATTATATTATCAAAATGCAATTAGAAAGATACATAATCATAGAATCGAACTTAGTTAAAGATCGTCATCAATTAAATTATGAGAAAAAAAAACGGACTCACCAAACCTTTGAATCCAACATATCAAGTCTCAATTCTAAGTTTAAAAAGAAATCTACAGTACTTTATTTTATGTTAAAGAATTTTTTTTCTCAAAATAATTCTACATTCGAAAAAAAAACTGAAATCATTAATCTCTTGATTTTTTTTAAAAATAATGATAGCAATACAATTAAACTTCTAAATGTAGTGAACGTTTTTCAATAGTTCCTAAGATGTTCGCACAATATAGAAAGATGAAAAAATAAACGCAGATAGTATTTACTGGTTTTATTTCATTTGATTGAACATTATCTACAAAATAAAATTCAAGTATTAGCTTATCTCAAAGTTTGCGGCTCTCTTCAAAGAATTTCAAAATTACACCAATACTACTGGCAACATGAGGGTAGAACCCGTCGGCTCCAAAAATTTTGGATCTGAACCTAATTGATTAAACTTTTTCGGGCCCGATCCCGAATTATACTCTTGATACTTAATGGAATTTTTTTAATTCAAAACCAGGAACACATCCTTGACAGTTTTGAAGCAATCTCGATTATGATCTTATAAAAATCAACTTATAATTGGCTCTTTTTTTCAGAGTGCCACCCATGAAGTCAGACCCGGACTCGACCGGGTTTCGGGTTCGGGACCAACCTGACGGGCTCTATCTGAAGGTCTCAGAGCAGGGAGTATTTGCGAAAATGGAAGAAAGGTGTGACTTAACACAAGAGCGTTTGCGAGGCTGTCGAAATTTTGGGACAAGTTCTCAAGTTCATATAGAACTTCGAACAATTTTTTGTGTATCAAACGATAGTATGAATTTTAAAAAGTGATATTTTGCCTTAGAGCTCTTCCTAGTGGGTATATTTTCACCTTTAGTTCATAAGAGTTTTTCAATATTTTTTTTGAGTGTCGAAGATGAGTGTATGCTCGCAAAAATTGTTATTTTATGTGATGACGATTGGAATTTATTAGAAACTCGTTAGCTTCTAATAAGGTTTCAAGATAAAGACAAATTCATTTGGCCACTAATAACAGTAGAAGTTATAATTACATTGTAAGCTTTAGGAATCGTATAAATCACGGGATAAGTTCTGTCTGTATGGGAATATATTTCCAGTTCATTGATTATCGGCAAAGGCAATAAAGTTCGCGTAGTTATTTGAGAAAGTTCAGTAAATAATTGTGAACTTTGTTGCCAGAAAAATTCCTCGATTATTACAAGGGAAGTTATGATGGATGGCACCTATTTTTGTTATCAGCTTTATAACAGTCGAAAGGAAGAGTATTCCGTATCAGCCGACTTCTTAATATGTAATTCTATGTCCCAGCTATCTGCATTACCAATTTGATTGAAGTTAATCAATCCTTTCAATGGCTATGCTCATTTTAGTGAAGAGAAACCATTTACTGTCATTTGTAGGTGAATAGTTCAGTGATAAGTTTACTGAAACGAGTTGAAGCTTTCTTTACAGTTAGATAGATTTCAGCAGTTAAAGAGAAATCCAACATAGATTATAATCTTGTTAATTTCAAGCATTCTTCGAGTACATAAACTTATCTTTTCGATAAAGAAAGACCATAGACGGAACTTTAACTACATGTAAAAATATCAGATAAGAAAGAGCGAAAAATTTTGTAGTCACTCCCATTTCGATTATAATGCTCAAAGCAAAAACAAATAGATAGAGCAATGCCAATGATCTACATTCTTGATGACGTGCATGTAGACAAATTTTCAGACAATGGGTGAGATCGACTGAAGCAGAGACTTTTGTCCACTACTGTACATGCAAACCAAAATTAATATCATATTTAAGATCAGCCGACAAAACTACATTAATCACATTTTCATATCTTTCTTGCGTTCGGAAGTTTTTAAAAAATTCATATAGAACTTACATCGGATTTTTTTAAATAATATCTGAACATTATCATCGTCAAAAGGTAACTTAAAAACAAAAAAGATAAATAAAAAATATTAGATTAAATGAAAAATTTACAGTTCCTGTTAATAAAGCATAAAGAATAACACCACAACTCCAAATATCAACTTCTTGTCCAGCATAAAGTCTATATAAATACAAACAAAAATCAAATCAATATATCATCCAGAATAATGACTAACTCTCCAGAGACAACTTCAGGAGCAGCATAATTAGGTGAACCACACGATGTTTTTAGTAATTCACCATCTTTCATTATATTTGACAAACCTAAGATAAATAGATCATTTTGCTTTTTTTTTCAATAATATCAAATAACAAATCACTCATAATAAAGAGTCACACTTTGCAATTCATATTTTAATCTCTAAATATATTTTATTAAAAAAACAAACAGAATCTATCATAAGATACAGCATGAAAAGCTCTACAAATAAAAGTCAATTTTCCTTTTTGTACGTATAAGAAGTAGACGAACAAGGGAATATAAACTAAAAACCTAATTTTGACCTGCTAGAAGGTATTTTCGACGCGTCAAAAAGCTATAGATCACGATCAGAATTTGAATATTGTCTTTACAAATTATCAGAGTCGGCTGTTTTGTAGAGCGAACACTTCTCTACGAAGTAGTTCAAGAACTGCTTTCAATGCATAATGGTTGTCGATTTTTCAAAAATGAGTATTTAAGAAAAACGAAAATTGAGACGCCTTTATCAAAAGACATTTTGTAGGACAAGTTTTGTGAAATACGATCTGAAAAGAATGTTGAAGTATACAGAGTAGAAATTTGGATGCAACCTCTTCATCGATGTTTTTGATACATGATTACCGATTGTGTATATTGGTTAACTCTCATGAAAGTATATAAACTGTTTTCTTTTTGAATTTTAGAGGATAAGTAAAAGTTGATGAAAAAGAAGTCCGCAAATAGATCGAATAAAACAATATTCGGGTGATTAGTAATAAGAGGTATATTGTGTCTCACATTTTAATTCCGTAGGAATTGTGATAGTAACTTTTCATTTACAAGCTGAAATATAAATAAAGATTTCAATTTTTGGTTTCGAATTGAAATAGTAAAAATTCAAAAATTTTTTCGTTCAGATTAATCTTTTGACTTTTTCAAATATTATTTCACTATTATTGGACAAAATTTCTAAGTCTATATTCGAAAAATGCATTGTAATTCATAGCTTTTGACTTGTCGGAAATACTTTCTAGTAGATCATCCGTTACATATCGAGAATCATTGATAAGACGTACAGAAAATTTCATGGATTTTATAGACAATCACACATATGGCGAGGAAATAGTTCTCATCTCAATGTGTCTTAGATGACAACATGTGGAATTCTATTATCAATAATAAACAATCGGATAAAGTTAAAAACTTAATTTATTAATTAGAGTATTGATTATTTTGAAAAACAAAAATGTACATAATTAAAATAAGATTTATTTTGTAGAGTTTGTTTTAATAAAAATATATTTAGAGAAGAGAAAAAAAATCAAATACGAGTATTTATTATTAATCATCTATTTAAATATTTAACCTACCAAAATCAGCTATTTTAACATGAGATGCATCATCAAGAAGAAGATTTTCTGGTCTAAAGAATTTCGATTAATTAAGAGAAGAAAAATAATAAACATACTTAAGATCTCGATGAACCTAAAATAGAAAAAGAAAACTGAAAAGAGAAAAAAAAGAAAAGAAAAAAAAAAGCATACCACCATATGTCGATGACAATAATCAACACCAGATATAATTTGTTGAAAAAATGGTCGTGCTTCTGCTTCAGTTAACTAAAATTAAATTTGATTAAAACAAAAAATTTTATTTCTTTTTGTTTCTTTAATCTTATTTAAACATACTTTTCCTTTTTTAACAATATAATCAAATAATTCTCCGCCAGATACATATTCCATAACCATAAATATATCAGTTGGTGTACTAATTACTTGATATCTAATAAATTATTGAAAATAAATTCAAATGAAAAAATATATATATATATCATTCTTACAATTTAATAATATGTGGATGTCGAAAAAGTCTTAAATTTTGAATTTCTCTTCGAATTTTTCCAACAACATCTAATTGTTTTATTTTTGTACGATTAACTATTTTAATTGCAACTGTATGTCTAGTTAATTGATGATATGCCTCTAGAAAACAAAATAAAAAAAAACGAAAGAAAATCAATTATTATTTTAGAATTTCTATCAAATTAAATATACTTTTAACTTTTCCAAAACTTCCTGTTCCTAATGTTTCATTAAGAATATAATGACCAATTCGAATAACTCCAACATCAGTTGATGATGAATTAGCATTATTAGCAGCTTGATTTTCTTTTTTTTTTTCGCTTATATTTATCCTATAAATCAAAATAAAATAAAAAATTGAGAATTATTTAAAGAATATATTCATATACGTACAATCACAGACGTCATGATTCAACAAATATATCGAGTAGAATCTTAAACTATTATATAAACAAAAGAATTATTAAAAAAATAAGAATGTAACACAAGTCATCCGAGAAGAAGTGCGCAATAAGGATCTTTTATGAATGTGTCTGCTTATTTGCAACGGACGAGTTATTTTATTGATGACTCATCTCTATCAATCAAGACATAAATTTTCCTCACCAATCATTTGTTTTTCTTTTCAATTCTATCATTTATCTTATAGTGACATCTCTCATCATATACATATAGGACGTTACAAAAGTTTTTTTTTTTTCTTTTTTGTTCAGTCTTTGTAAAAGTTGTATATTAAGGTCAAGTATTATGATATTATACATAGACATATTTAAGATCTCTAGATCTTGCACAACGTCTTATTTTTATAATTCTTCCAGATCAGTCATAGATTATTTTTAGAATGACTCATGAGAACAATTCCGAACTATGATTTTATATAAAGAGAAAATTATTTCAACGTACACGAAAGTCATGTCCTTTCGGTATGAGCTTCATATTACTAGTTCAGATTGCCGTTCAACTGTTGTTTACGCGGAGACGATTTATGCTGTCTCAATAATAATTGAAGATGGTTCTCACTGAACATACTGACGAGGAGGCATTTCCAATTGATCAATGGTTTTCTCATAAAAAACAAATGGATTGTAGCTTATAAACTATCTTGATTCCGAATATGACCATAAAAAATATCATCTTTGACCTTTATATGCTGGTTTCCTAGAAAATCCGTTTTTCAGGCTAACAAAAATTATACAAAAACCGTTTTGAATCTACTCAGATTATAAAGAGGATATCGAATTGTATATTAGATAACAATCTAAAAAAAAAAGTCTTAAGTAAAATAACATCACCTTGAAGATTTTTCTGTTGATATATTGATATACGTCTGTTGTATGCATTTTCTGTAAAAAAAAATCCTGTTTGAAAAATAAAACGTTCCTGTTTTCGAAGAAATTCAATATGGTCTATAGTCTGGACGGGTCAAAAAAAATTTTTTAACAAAAATTTGTATGGAAAAATCAATTTTCTAGAAAAGCAATGTATGAAGTCCTTGAGGGATTGATTGGCACTCGATAAATACATGATTAGCTTGTCGATGACTGAAAATAGTTTTATGTTCAATCGAAGAGGTTTGAATAGACCGAATTTCAATCCTGTTGCCGATATTATCTCTAATGATCAATCATAGTTATACGATTTGAATAGAGATAACAAGTGCAGTCGAAGGTTCGATTATTATAAAACAGTTCACGAATAATCAAAGCTTATCGAAAGAACAGTTTAGACTAGTGAACTATACCATTTTTTTCTACAAAAATGTTCTCTAACGAACCTTATATAACTGTAATCTATTTAATAGATAATTTAGCTCAATCTTAAAATCATCATTGTCTACGTAGGTGAAGTTAGCAGTCGATTCGAGTAATCTCAGCAGCAATTCGTCCAGGTAGTGTTCCAAGTAGAATTCGACATGCTCTATCGAATCGTTAAACCAAATTTAACAATTTCTCCTATCATAGTTTTACAAATTGAAAAAGACTAGTTTTTCACTATAGACAATATGAAACTTGCGAGGTAATTCCAAGCGGTAGCTAGACATTTTTCTCAATCCGCCTAAAGTTGAAACGATTACGGAAACTGATTCGATATATATGTCATAGATATGATTCAGACGTTACATCATCATGAGAGCGTAAGAGAAAACATTTTAATAATGAGTATCAACTACTTGTTTTAACCAATTGGAATGAGATAAACGGTGACATAAGCAAATCTAAACTCCAATTTGTGATTAAATAGTGATTTGATGTGTAAAGATCAATAAGCCATTTTGTTTTGAAATAAAATTCTCATATTAAGAATTGATGACTTAGCCAATAAAAATTAAGCATCGTTGTTTTTTTCTTGCATAGATATCATTTACGAGCAACAATAAATCATAAACGTGAATATATTAAGACAAATTTTATTGACTCGTCCAATCATGTTATCATAAATGGAGAATATGTTATATCAAAAAAAAACTCTTTACATACTGCGTGTAGAGAATTCCCTAAGCTAGCAATTGGTACAAAAAAAAAGTATTTTGTATCCTTGCTCTATCTGTAAGATATACGACTTACAAATGAGACAATTATAAGATTATTAGAGAAGAGACACGCAAACCTACACTCTAATTCTTATAAATCTTTATCATATTCAAAGCTGAAGAGGAATGAGTCAATAATTATATTCTTTACTTAATGATTTAATTACTTCGAGAAAAAAAAACAGATTTTATGTACAGAGAAAATTGTTTTCAGAAGCACATGTGTTGCTTTTTTCTTTATTTGTTTTGTTGAATTTGAAAAAATATTTTGTATTTTTGGAAAATAAACAAACTACTCACAAAAGATTAAAAAAAAAACTACTTTTCATGTCACTATCCATCAATGGTAACCGAAGTTGTCAAACTACCGTGCACATAGAGAAGCACACCTGACCAATCTGCTTGCATTATTGGTTTACTGGAGAGGACAATATTCTGTTTCAATAGTTGTTTTATTAGTGACTCTTCTGAAACCATTATGATGGATAAAGGATTAGGTCTGTTCTATTTCAATTTCAATTTTGTCATTCTTTTTTCAGATTTATTTTTGCTTTTATTTTGAATGCTGTTTTTTATTTTGTTCTTCTCCGGAATCTGATTTTCTCTAATACATATTATCGTACTTTCAATTGTGGTATAGAACTCTGATGAGTGTTTATACTTTAATAAATTACATAAAATGGATTGACGAATTAAACTCTGCATTTCTTTAATTATTCTAAATAAAGCACAATAATTTATAATTCTATCATTTATTTAAATTCAACTTTCGAGGAAATCTTTTCAAGTGCCTTTCTCAGGTTTTGAATGATTTTCTGCCCGTAGATTAGGGATCTGCAAAACCACTAATTTTTAGTTCCGGTCCTGATAAAATTTTTCTCTTGGTCCCGGATTCTGGTCTCAGATTAAAGTTTTGTATTAACTTTAGTCTCGATTTCATATATCCAGTTTCCTTGCTAAAATCAAATGATTATTTATTGATATGGATTACCCTTTAAATACTTATATAAAATCTACATGAATAATTTTGGTTCACTAATAGTACGAACATTTATTTATATACATATATCCAATCTAAAAATATTCAAAACTAGGTTTTTTGTTGGTTCTAGTTACACTACTGAGAAAGTTTTTTTAGAACTCGTCGTTCTTGAATACATATGAAATCTCTATGAATAATCTTGAATTAATGTTATCGTTAGAATAAAATTTAATCTGTCAAAATTCAGGAGTATCAAAACTACGATTTCTATTTTTAGAGGTAGTTCTAGGACATGTCTGAAATTGATTCGAAATTTTAAAGAATATTTATTTTCAAGTACTATTATCATTGACAAAAAAAACAAACGACGACTTGTATTTATTTGTTGTCTGCTGAGGCAATAAATAAAGGAATGATTGAACTATTATCGAAATAAACTTATGTATATTGTGATTCACATAGTCACAAAATCAGACAAGTTATTGCAAAATTCCGAATCTTGAACACAAAATTAGGATCTCTCAGGAATTTTTATCAAGATTGTAAGAAAACTTATTGGTTTTTAGATCTTTGATCACAAAAATTTTAATATGAAAATTAATAGTCTAGTTTAGTTCTTAGTAAAAAAAAATACCGAGATGAGCTTGAAATATTAGTCTCGGTTCCGGCAGGATCAGGATCGGGACTAACTTGCAGATCCCTACTACAGATACTGTTTAGTGTTCTAGTAAATACGTCAAACTAGAATGAACTTATGACTTATTCATAGTCTATTTATGACCTTGAGGAGAATCTTTATAACTTCATTACTGAAAAAAAGATACAGAGCTCGAAGTGGTTTCAAATTAAAGCCGATATCCTTTCACAGTTTTCGTCCGAACAAAATTTCCAAATGCACTTCGATTCATTTTTCCCTCGACTGAAAGGAGGGTCATATGAAAGAAAATAGTTTGTCTGTCTGTGTCAGGGCCAAAAAAACATCAAGGGCAAAAAAACATCGAGGGCAAAAAAACATCAAGGTCAAAAAAACATCGAGGGCAAAAAAACATCAAGGTCAAAAAAACATCAAGGTCAAAAAAACATCAAGGTCAAAAAAACATCGAGGGCAAAAAAAATCAAAGATTAAAGATCCAAGTTTGACCAAAGGTTTTCGGGGTCGAGGAATCCATTGTCACCATTAGTTTTTCGGAATTTTTTTTACATGACTTTTTTTTGCTAAAAAAGGCCTTTTTTGAGGAAAAAGTGATTTTTCATAAAGTTTGACCAAAGGCTTTTGGGGTCGAAGAATCGATTGGCATCATTAGTTTTTCGAAATTTTTTTCAGATGACTTTTTTTTGCTAAAAAAGGCCTTTTTTTGAGAAAAAAATAATTTGTTATAAAGTTTGACCACAGGTTTTTGGGATCGAAGAATCGATTGGCATCTACTTGCATGTACTGTTTTCAATATCCAGCCCACATCCAATCAGCTATTCTTGCCGTCCTGCTTTTATACTTGGTGCTGTCAGCTAGTAGCTGTGAGTGGCGTTCCATTGGATGGCCAACAAACGGCTAATCAGTGGTTCGCGAGTTTCAAGGATGGTTGTTCCAGAGGAGATTCGTAGGAAATCGCGCATGTATTTCGAGAAAAGTTGATTAAGGTTTCATCATTCGGGAAATTCTATATAAAGCGGATTTTTAGAAAGATCGCGAAATTGAAGTTCTAACGAATAGTTCACAACAAACCCTGATCATCGGTACCATTCGTGATAATTATTTTCCTATGATTAGGAGTCATTCTATTAAAAGTTCGCTATTTCTGCAGATCGGAAACCTATTCGGTTCAATCTTAACACAACTAGACGATTAGTTGGAAAACAAGATAGGATTTGGGAGCCGGTTAGTCGCTCGTCAGCGCCCCTCCGGGGCGCAACTCGCGACTGGCCGTTTATTTTTGAAGCTGATATGATCCCTCCTTGCGTAAAGGTTTTAACAAATATGGAATATTTTTCGAAAGAGCCAAGGCAATTGTCACCCAGGCTAGGAGTGTCTTGTTCCGATTACCGTTACCGGTAAGTGCTAATTGATGCCACTTTCAATTTATCAGGCAAGTAATAAGTAGTATTTTAACGAAGCACATAAGCTGAGGGTGTATTTTTCACAATAAATGCTCAATCTGTAATACTAAAACATTTAGACTAAGTTTTATAATCAAAACTGCATCTTTAGTATTATATTTTTCGAGCATGAGGAGTGTACTGTATGATTGTGTATCAAACTCGTTTTCGACCAATACATTAATCAAAATAATATTGCAAGAAAATTTGTATAGCCGAATGTTGGGAATAACAAAACCAATCATTCTGTATGTGTTATATATGATTTCGTGTTGTTGTCGAACTGTTTTCTTTCTTCACTAGGCATAGAAATATTTTGGTGAAAGCAACAAGAGGATAAATTCTTTTTTTTTGAGATAGTAATAGCTCTGTAGATATAAAAAGTAAATTTTGTACATATTTAATTTTTTAGTTTCATCGATCAATATTACTTTTATTATTCCCTCGACTGTAAGGAGGGTCATATGAAAAAAAATAGTTTGTATGTGTGTGTGTTTGTGTCAGGGTCAAAAAAACATCGATGACCGATCAGATGTTTGCTCTATCCATCTGTCGAACAACCAGGTTTTGGGAGGCTGGGATTTTAGCCAATTAGGTTTTGAGAGGCAGGGAATTCAACCAATCAGATTTCGATGGGCTAAGAAATTCGGCGAATCAGATTTTGAGGGACTGGGAATTCAGCCAATGAGATTTCGAGGGACTAGAAAAGTCAGCCATTCAGGTTTTAAGGAGCTAGAAATTCAGCCAGTCAGGTTTTGAAGGGCTGGATTTCGACCAATCAGGTTTCGAGGGGCTGGGAATTCAGCCAATTACATTGAGGCTCTCTCAAAAATTTAGGCTGGCAAATTCAAGTACAGGGATACATGGTGCTCATTAGAGTAAAATAGTCCAATAGCAGTCCCATCCAGCTGTTCGAGTGAGACACAAATATCCAGGAAGGTCCGCACGATACTTGCTAGTTTGACTGAATTTATTGAGAAGACAATTACTAGACTTTGTATTATCTGTAGGTTCACGCAATCAGTGAGATAGTAGTACATATCAGGAAGAAAAAGTTACTTTTAAAACATGTGAGCGGAAAATTTCACAAAGTCTCTCGTTCGAAAAGAAAAAATGTTATCGAGCAGGCGAAAAAGAAAAGTTTAATCTTATACTTCATCTGATAAGGACTTACATATAAGACCACCTGCTCTAGTGGCAGAGATGATATTATTATCTCGAAGTTGAATATCAAGACATTTTATATGGGAATATAATAATGTTCTACTGACCTCATTTGTGTCAACAATTCCCACGGCAACGTTTGCTTTGTTGATTTCCTCAATTGTAGGGAGTGTCATATAAAATAAAATGAGTTTGTGTGTGTTTCTGTCAGGGTCAAGCGTTGAAAAAGTATCATCAAATATGAATACATCGGAATTTCAGTGAATCGGGTTTTTCATATTAGGATTTATGCCAGTCAAGTTTTTTCGTCCTAAGATTTCAGCCAATCAGGGGTGTGTATATTGAGCTTTCAACCGGTCAGATTTTTGCAGGCTGGAGGTAAAGGTTGACGAAAGTAAATCGGGATCGGCGAATCCGAATCTGAAGTCAGCTTCTCAAAATTTTGAGTTGAATTTTTAGGGTCAGGAAAAAGTTTTTGAGAAAATAATGATATTTCCTTGGCTATAGAAAGGGTTATATGAAATGAACTAAATTTTTGTGTCTGTCTGTGGGAGAATGAAAAATGAAACAGGTATTTAGCAGTTAAAGTGCCTTTTGACAAAGAATTGCTAGGTTTACAATCTCTTACGGAAAAGTAAGGTTTATCTCAAATTACTTTACAAAAAAGGCTGAGCAGTTTCTTCGACTTGTACGATTTAAGAAATTGAAATTTGCGTCAGTTATTGTGATAAAGCTGATAGGTCAATTCTTTCGATACTGACACATGTGGAATATACTTGTCTTATACAGTCGAGGGTCAAGTGAGTCGAACTGATGAACGTTACTTGTTTATAATCATTTTAGTAAATAAGATGCTAAAATAGAGAAAAACAAATGTCATTTCATGGCACTAAATCTGGCCTTTGTCAACATAGAAATCAACTATATATAAAGAAATCTGGTCGAACAAAAGTTTACTCTTATGCAGACCTTTAAAACAAAAATAATATTAATTGTATCTTGAACCGGGCAGAAGTTATTTCAATTTTTCTGATTGAAAATCATGTTCTGAGAAAAAAAACCGATAACAAATAACTTTAGACATGTATGTTTTCATTCAAATCCAGACAAAAAAAACATATTCAAATAGTATATTCATAATGTATCTAAATGATATTTTGAAAGATACCTGACAGATAACATAAGATAGCACTATCTGTTATGTTTAAATAATATTAGAATGTTTATGAATGTTGATGCAAGCAAAAAGGCAGTCTTCACAAAACTTAAAAACTTCAAAGCAAAAACATGCAAATTAGTAGGATCAAAATTTCTTTCGAAAGTTTGCTAAAATTTGATATTTTTTTTTCGAAAAGTCTCAGTGAGAAAACTTCGATACGTTTTCCTATGATAAAAACTCAACTTCGGTATTTTTTTTCGAAAAAAATGGATTTCCTGAAAGGATCCTCTTAGCAATGAGATTGATATTAAAGAAATGAAAATAGATTTATTTTCAACAATTTTAATTCTATCTTACTCTTTCTGGTTGATATTGTATTCAGGCCCGACGCGAAGAATGAAACATTGGGGGGGGGGGGGGGGGGGGGAAGGTGTAAACCTCTAAAAAACCTGAAAGTATCATTGTTGTGCAAAATTTTTAAGAAATCACAAGGGCTATATAGGCAATAAAATATTGAATACAATATTTATTGTTTAGATTTTCTGCTGTTTGTCGAGTTGTTTTTACAGAATCATTTTCTGATATCTCTCGAAGAGTATCGACGATTTGTTTATATGAAATATAAACAGCTCGAACAGCTTCATATCGATCAGGCCAACATGTTCTCGACAAGCACTTGACCAGTATTCTTAAAATAAAGACGATAAAAATAAAAATTGATTTAGAAGTAAACAAAGCTTACTAAATTCTGTTTCACTTAAAGTTTTATACAATAATGAAAGCCGTTCAGCACTCATTGCGAAGAAATTATATAATTCTTGTAAAATACTAAAAAAATTGATGTATTCGATACTAATACTACTACCATGTTTTATTACTAAATTTGTAGAATGAACACCGCATGGGATATATAAAATTGTTCGATTTAAATGTTTATTTAAACAAGGTTGAATGCCTTGATTCACTCCAGACATATTCAAAGCATTATCGTATAAGACTGAGCTATGATTTTGTTGATTGAAATACCATATTTCTTTAGCTCGTCTAGCAAATACTTACATATATCTTCATTTATCTTAGAATTTAATTCCATAACAGATATCATTCATTCTTTAGCAATGAAGTCTTTTACAAATCAAATTACAATTGTATATATCCGTTTATTACACATATTAGTAGTTGAATCGACAGCCATAGAAATAAATTGTGCTTGATGTATGTCATTCAATATTACTTGATGACAACTCTACTTAATAATGTGATATGTTCGTTTTGTGAATCATGATGAAGATAAGTCACCTAGAAATAGAAACAGAAATCTTTCGCTAACTGCAAGCCATAAAATATTGTGCTATTCTTACATGAAAGAGACGTAAACTGGATTCTTTCAACCATTGATCAAGTACTGGATCACGACGACGCAACAGGTTGATGGTCGCAACGAAATTGCCTAAAACAGAATTACTTTTTATTACAGGAGATCTTGTTCTAACTATTTTTCATTTACGTACCTTCAGAATTTCCATATCCTTGAAATGATAATGATTGTCGTGAAAGAAATCGTACAACATCAAGTAACGTAATAATGATTTTTTCATTTAATTTTAAAAGTGGTTCTCGTTTTTGATCAACTTCTCTTTGACCAGCAATTAACATTAAATCAATATTTGTTTTTTCTGAGAAAAGTTTAATAAACGATTTTTACTACTCATATGTGCCGTAGATTTAAAATGCTTAACCATCTTTCCACCGGAGCCTACAATAAAAAAAAGAATATTGATCTCAAACTGTTTCTTGGTAATTGTTTCAAATATCTGTCATCCTTGACCATGACGAAATGCCTTTGAATGAGCATGCCTCTTGAGATTTTTCTGCACCAGGACCAGCACCAAATAAACGACAAGAAAAACAAAAAACAGCATCTTTTTTAACACTACTCCAAATAGGGAAAGTTCTTATACCAACTAAAAGAGAACGAACATTGTTTATCTTTTTTTTAATTGAAAATTTTGAGGATAAGGTGAAAGAAATTCGTGATTTGAACCGCAATCAACCAGATAGCGTAATTCATCATCGTTGTACTTTCTGTTGTCAGATGGATCTCCGCTGATAAATTCACTCCTATTTTTGTTTATTATATTACCTCGGTTTGCTTCGATACTTGAAATCAATTGTCAACACTTTGTTTCAAGTTCTATTGATATGTTTGTTCTTTAATGAAATACATAATGAATGTCTTTCGATAAGAAATGGTTCTTCTGGAAAATCAGGTGCTCGTGATTGTTTAATTAAAGATTCACAGTTCGAAAAAACTAATTGAAGCTTTAATAAGTCCAGAACAACATTATTTACAGAATAGATTTCTTCACTAGCATTCAAATTTTGTTCCATAGAATGACATGATGTTTCATCATCAGATGATCTTCATGTTGATACTAGATAAAAAAAGAAATATTTTTTTGGTAAAAATTCTCTGTACTTTCTCTTGAAAATTACTTTCAGAAGACGTTCCTTGGAACATTAGATACGGTTGAAATTAGGTTTGACAATATTGACTCTACTTCGTCCGTGACAATCGGCAATTCCCATGGATTAATATTCTTCTTTTACAAAACTTCATTTTCAATGGAATCTAGTACCTTTTTTTTTCTTTTTTAACCAATTCAATAAGAACTTATTGTCAAGCTGCTTCCTTTTCTCGGATATTTTTTCATAAAAAAAAATATTTTGTAATATCAAAAATTTTGTGAGTAGATTTATTATCTGATGATAGCAAGTACGAGAAAGAACAGAATCTAATTGTTCGTACCAAACAATTATGCACTTATACTCAGAGCGATATTCAATTAGTGTATTTAATATACTATACTATACGTTATAATACACGTCAACTGATGAAAAAATATTATTAAAATGACACTCTTTCGTTCTTTCAATTTATCTTTTTTCTCAATGTTCAATCATACAACACAAAAAAATCCTCATTTCCTTTAGCTACAAAAAGTTCCATAATTTTTTTATTTATTGGATGCGTTTATACTTTCCCCCACTTCCGCGGAGCCCGGTTGTATTTGTACTTTAACTAAAGCATTTTTTTTTGGTTTAGTCTGTCTTGATCCTTGAAATTTATCAATAGTCATTCCACATTTAAAACATTTATCAAGTCGACATGATGAACATATATGACGAGTATTTTCATTTATTTCACATTCACCACCAAATTTACATATAAATGCTGCCTAAATGAATTAACATACAAAATTAAATAAGAAGAGAAAATCAATCTGACCTGTCCAATATTAGCATTTCGTTTAAAGAACATTTTGCATGGTTGACATGATATAACACCAAAATGAGAATATACAGCAGGAACACCGCATATTCGACATTCTTGTGGATCTAAGTTCAGTTTTTTAGCTTTGTTCGGCATGGATAAATTCTATTCTTTGTAAGTAAAATTTATCTTAGATTAAGCGTTAACTTATTAAGACAGTGAATATTATAGAGTAAAGAAAAAAATCATAAGTACGCGTCTATAAATAAAGTAAAGGATATTCATTTAACATGATGGTGTTTTTTTTTTCTGCAGAACGACAATGTTTTTTCTACCCCTCACCAGTATAACGTGTATAGTTCAAGGTACACTTGTTGTTCTTCATAGGAAGAAGAAAAAAAAAGGCGACTTCTTTTTCTTTCTCGTATCGGTTCACGTCTATCTTTTGTTTCATGTCTTAGAGTCTATTGCGTATAAAATAAGTCTAGAAGTACGATCAGAATGCAATAATTTTCATCAAGAATTGTAGAAATATTTTAAAGAAAACATGATAAAGAAAAAAATAGTTGTGATGTTTACAATAGTTTTAGTAATTATTTCTCGTTTATTTGTTTTTTAGTTTCAATGAAATAAACATGTATATTTATGACAGAAAAATGATCATTCAATATAATGAAGACCTGCAGAGTCAACTTTTTTGATTCCAAAACCCGACTTCAACTCCGAAAAATTTTTTTTCCACGACTCCAACTTCGACTCCGATCTTGAAGACGTTTATCTTCTGACTGCGATTCTAACTCAGAGAAACTTCGAAATTTTTTTCTTAATGTCATTTGAAGATTACGCATTTCGAACACAGAAGGATTCATTTAATGCTTTACCAATGTGCTCTGTTTTAGCTAAAAAATTATATTTCTTTTTTAAAAGCAAGTTTATGGATGTTATCATTCTTCAAATTCATTTTGTTTTGAAGAGAATGCCATTTTGAATGTGTAAAAAAAACTCATATTTTCACTCCTAAAAATGCGGTTTTTTTTACCAATTTTTCTACTTGGGACGTTGTTTGTCTAAACAACTAAGAATTAATAACGTAAACAGTCGGAGTACTTTGAACGACATTAATACCTTTTTCGATTAGAAGTTTCGATATATGCAAAAGAAAAAGATTACCGGGCACGGTTACAATTTTGATTTCGACTTCGAAATTGTTTTTTTCAGTAAATTCGACTCCAGCGGAGGCGGAGTTACAAATGGATTCGCAGGTCTCTATCCAATGATTCTACGGCTATTATGCCACAATCAAAGACAATGACAATTGAATGTAAAGTTTGTGGAGTTTTAGCTAAATATTCATATTTTGATGTTATATATTACCTATGACATAACATCTAAATAATATCTACAAGGAAATATGCATCGCATCAGTTTCCATAATCGTTTCAACTTTAGCAGATTCAGCAAATGTCATGCTACTGATACACTATATTTACAGTGCGCGACATAATTAGCTACATCGCTTTCGAACAGATTTATAGTCTTGTCACTAACATTAGTTTTCCAAGATACTATACCAAACAGATGTTTTACAAGTTCTTCTATTTTTCTCAGGATATGGACAAAATAGTTTGAATTATATGTGGTACGCCAAAGCATTCCGAAAAACAAGGATAGCAATTTTGGAATGAGCTTCTACACGTATATATATAAAAAGCTCAAGGAAAATATCGGCATTTTCGAACTTTTTTCGGTGGAGGATTCGTATAATGTGAATTGTGGTAAAACTAATTATGCTATTCAATAGAGCTTATCGATTAGTACTTGAAACACTCAAAAACAAGTCTGAAATACAGTCCTAGACGAATCATCGCATTGAATTACTCTGCGAGTTTCATATTGTCTATAGTGAAAACTAATATTTTACAATCTTTGTGAAACTATTTACATTCTAACATGTCTGATAAAGTAAAATTGTTGCTAAACTTCTGCAATTTTTTTGAAATTATTTTGCTTAAAAATGATTTATTAATATCTCTTTTACAAATCATACCATCGAAACGTTTGTTAACCGGTAAATTGAGTAAATTTTTTGCGATAACATTGTACTCTGCAAAAAAAAAGTTGTTCGAATCGTTCCAGAACATAGTCGGCGACCAAAATAAATTGGATTGTGAAAATATTTTATAGTACTATTGGAAATATATTATCGTTTAATGGACGTGTAAAACGAACCAACACAACAGATTGATGTTCGGCTTGATCATTTAAAAGAACTGAAGATGTCACGATTATTAGATTTATATCATCAAGACAATATCAGATCATCTGTCTATTTAGCGAATGTAACATATAATATTCATTATTCTCTTTAACATCAGGATGTGATAAAAGATTGTAAAGCATAACGGGATTTGAAGCAACTTTAAGCAAAATAATTTTAAAAGATCGTAGGAGTTTAGCAGTACTTATATTTTGTCTGATGTTAGAGTCCCAATAGTTTCATTACTTTTGATCTGGTAGAAAGCTTTTCTGACGAGTCAAAACCTATAAGTGAGAATGCTTTTTTCGAATATGAACTTGAAAATTTCGTCTCAATTTTTGTTCGAAGCCAGTGAAATAATCTTCGAAAAGTCAAAAAAGATTAGTTTGGAGGGAACTTGTGAGCCAAGATGTTCGGCGAATATATTTGTCCATTTTGGTCTGTTTGAAATCATTTCAGACGAACCAATTTGAATGTGACCTTAGAAATGTTGTGTTCTCATTTTTCTTTTCCGAGTAGTGAAAGACTTTTTGTAGAGCGAACGTTTCTCTAGAAAATGTAATATTGAATTAAGCTGTAGCTTTTACTCGAGTAAGACTATAAGCATTTTTTCAAGAGCTTCTTTCAATGTAAAACAGTTGTTGATTTTTCAAAAATGAGTATTTAGTATAAACAAAAATTGAGGTAACTTATCGAAAGACAAAGAAGACTTCAAATAGTGTATTTTGTAGGGTATAGCTTCTCATTTACGGTCTGATATAGAAATAAAGATTCCAACCTTCAGTTTTCATTCGCAATAGTGAAAATACAAAAATTTTCTCCCCGAAACAAATTCTTTGGACTTTTCAAAGATTATTTCACTATTCCGAAATAAAAATTGAGATCAAATTTCTTAGTTCATATTTAAAAAGAGCCCAAAATCAGAGATTTTGACTCATCGGCAATACTTTCTAATGAGTCAAAAATGAATAAATATTATGTCCAAAAAAAAAAAATCTATCATGTTTTCATAATTAATAAATTTCCTCAAGTAGAACTTAATACAGCAACATAACAGCTTTCTCAAGCATAATGTGATGACGTTTTGATCACAGTATTATTAACTTTTCTCAGTAATTAGATTATCTAGTAAGTTTTCTCTTTCGTTATTAGATGTGTCTCTGCCTTCACCACAACCTCCGGAAATTTGAGCTCGTTTGAACGAGCCGTTCGAAAATTAAAGGAAAAATAGGTGACGAAAAAGGGAGAAAAAGTTGAGGGTGACCTGTTTGTTTCTTATTTTGCTATGAATGTGTGCTACATTAAAATAAACCTTCCATAGACATTTTCTAGCAGACAGTTTGAAGTACCCAACGGAAAAAAAGAATTCTTCAATCAGACTTCTTATTTTGAAGAGGGGTCAGTTTAACTAACGTAACGCGATGATGATAATGATTTCTATTAAGAAGTTTTTTCCTATGTTACGTTTGCAATATGTATAATTGTGTAAATACGCGATACTATTTTTATTTCCATAATCAAACTATACAGATGTTACATATATTTCCCTACTCTTTATACTATACGCTACACCAGATGTCCAGAATGGATTTTAAAAAATGATGATTTTGAATTCTTGACCATCGAGATCACACGTTACACGTTTTGGCTGATAATACAAAAATAATTTAAACAATTTACAAGCGAACACTTTTTTGACAAGAATCTGTGTATTCTATAGATGTCACCTTATGATTATGAATCATATTCCATAACATATGGAGTTGTCTAGTTAAAATTTGATTGTTTTTAAAAGTGTCCTATAGAAATATTTGAAAGTATCTATGACTGATTTTCAATTCTCAATTGTTGCCATTTTCACACTTCTGTTTCTTCATCTGCGCGCATGCATACAAGGCTGAAATTAACATAGTATTTTCTAAGCACTATGCCCTATTATTCCACCCACCGAACTTTTCTATTTTATCAATGGCAAATATAGAAGAGTTAATTGTATATTCAAATAGTCGAAATGGACTTGGAATTCGAATTTTAGGTCCTAAACGAGCTACGAATAAATCAGGTATTTATATAAAACAAATACTTGATGATGGATTAGCACAAAAAAATGGACGATTAAAAGTAATATTGATATAATAGATTTTTTTTAATTCTAAAAAATAATTTAGGTTGGCGATCAAATTCTTTCAATAAATGATGAATCATCTATTGGTATTAATCGTGAACATGCTGTTAATGTACTTCGTTCAGCAGCTGCTACAAATCAAGTTCACCTTCGTGTTAAACATTTTTTTCCACCATTATCATCAAATGAATATCAAAAATTATTACATGATGAAAAATCTACTGATGATGATGATGATGGTGGTGGTGTGAATAGAAATAATCATCTAACAACAAATGAAGTTCGTATGAGAAAATCTTCTCGACGACATCATCATCATCAACATCGTCATAATCAACAACAATATCGTCATAGTGCATATAATTATACATATGAAAATGATCAAAATGAACAACAATATGATAATAAACAATTATTAAGCGGACTTGATCTTTCACATGATGCTCTTCAAGCATTAATTAATTCACGATTTAAATTAATTGATCTTGTTGATTTAATGAAAAAAACTTATCCACATTTATTTTCGAATGATCAAAAACAAGAATTACAATTTATTGAACAATTATCAGAGAATAATACTGGTAATATATTTGGTTTTTTTTTTATATAAACACAATAGATCGAATATTAATTAGTCGATCATATGTTACTAAACAGGATTCGAAGGAGGATCAATCATTCAAAAGATAAAACTAATTGGATATACGTGTTTTTTGGAACTCAGTAGGCAAAAAAAAATTTGGAACTCCACTGAATGGGATATTTCCTCACTCGGAACATTCGGGAAAAGTTCAGTTGGTTTTAGTGAAGTTTAACAAGCGAGAAGTATTGATAATAAATACAAGTGTAAAAAAATCGAAGTCGTAAGGGTACCCTCTCGTTCCCGATCTAAAATTTTCGTGTTTGATATGTGGATTTAAATATCCTTCATCTAACGAGTGCATTTTAAGAAGACAAAACTACCTTTTTTTTGTATGTGAAAAACTCAATTTTATACTGAAAAAGCAACTTTCTCAAAATCAGATTTTTGAAACAAAAAATTGAAGTTCTCTCCCGTTTTTCTCCTAAATGGTACGGGGCTCAAACTTTTTTTAATGAGTACTTCGATCAAATTTGGCAGATTTTATAAAATTAGCATCATCCGAAAAAAGAAAACTTTTTTTGATAGTACCTCCAGTGTTTTGCTTCTCCTAAGCCTCACGAGCAAGATTTTTTAAAGAAAAAAATTAACACGCACCCAGTTGCCACGGAAAAAATTTCAGCCCGAAAGAACATAGTATGACCGTTTGCCGAAGGGAGAAACTTCAGGTCATCTTTGACTCTTGCCTTCCAGAAATCTTCCTGAAGAAAGCATTTTAGAATTCTGAGTCTATGACAACTTTTATTCTACTCAGCGAGATCTATCTACACTGAAATTTTCTTCAAACCATTAGTGAGAAACATTGGAAAGTGAGGAAGTCCTTTTAAGATTTTCTTTAGTTTGAATAGAGTCTGTCTAATCTCAAAAATGATTTATCATTTGGTGAAATTTTTTTATGAATAGCTCTTCAATGTCATACAAATTCATTTGTTTAAATCTATTACTTTATCAAATAGATTTTATTCTATCAAATTTTCATTTTATAAAACTAATAAAATTGTCGTTCATTGTCAAATAGTAACGAGTGATGAATAATCAAAAGACATTGAACAGTCAATTATGTAAAACGTAATAAGATTTTTCAATAATTTAATGATATTCTCATTTATAAAAATACCTTCTGTATGTCTTTATAAAGATAAAAAAGATTTGAGATATATGTTAAGTAAAGTATATATTAATAAAAATTGTTTTATTTAATAGATGGTCGTATAACATTAAAAGATTTTGAACGTCAATCAAGTATACTCGTTGGAGAACGTATAAATCTTCTTGTTCCATTTTATTCTTCATCAAATAATTCTTTAAATAGAAATGATAATGAATTAATAATTGAACTTCGTCGTGAAATTGAAACATGTCGTATAACAATTGATGAACTTCAAACAAAAATAGAAATTTGTGAAAAATCTCAACGTTTAGCAAATGAAGTTGAACTTGAATATGAAGATTTACTTAAATTTTTATATGAACAATTACATCAATATAAAATAAATGAAATAAATCAATTAAAACAAATACGAACAAATGATCAATTAATACAAAAATTATTTAATTATTTATCAATGTATGTTGATAAACCAAATGATGAACATATATTAGCTCAACTTAAATTTGAATATGAACAACAACAAAAAATAAATCAGAACAGTAATGATATATCAATTAATAAATATCGACAACAATTTTAATAATTCATCTATATTTTTTATTTCAATTTCATCAATTTCTTTTTTCTTTTCGTCATTTTGTCTGTTTTTTTTTTTTGTTTTTTTTTAATAATTGTATTACTTACATTTCAATTCAATATGAAATGAAATTGAAATAGATGCTTATATTAAAAATGAAGAAATGTTGTGAATAAAGATTTATTGGTTAACTTGAAAAAGATAACTAATACAAAAATAAATTACTAATGCATTTAACACTAGAAATTATATAAAAAAAGACATGTTATCTTCTTAACACACATTTTTTTATCTTTTGTTTTTTGTCTCGCAATATCAATGATGACTTTGTTTTACTTGATTCTTATTTTATTTAATATTATTCAAATTGATAGTTCACTTAATACATGTCGTCAAACATTTGGTCCGAATAAATATGATCTTAATCAATTAAGTCATTTAACAATTCTTGGTGAAGAAAAACCATTTCGTTATGTTCTTACTCCTTGTGGTTTAGTACCAACAAATAAATGTGGAAGCAGCACATCTTCATTTGAACCAGGTATGACTGCATGTCAAGAGAGAATTCCAGATGCTAGATTTGAATCAGCTATGGGCTTTCTTGATGGATATGGAAAATCACCTAATCTTCTATTTAATGAAAATCCTCAAGGACCAGGAACTGGAATTGTTATGACTATGCGTAATGCTTTATGTAACGGTCATGAACGTTTTGTTAATGTTACATTTATTTGTGATGAAAATATAAAACAACCAACAAAAATGAATGTTATTGAAGGTCCTATATGTAAATTTAAAATAATAGTAAGAGCAGCTGAAGCTTGTCCTGTTAAAGGAGGTATTACAGGTGGAGGTATTACAGGTGGAGCTATTTTTATTATTATATTGTTTGTTTTAATTATTGTCTATTTGGTTTGTGGAATTATATATAATCGATATAAACAAAATCAAACAGGCTTAGCAGTTATACCAAATCGAAGTTTTTGGCTACTTCTAGGTGGTATGTTTGTTGATGGTTGCAAATTTACTTGGAATTTCGTTCGTAATTGTGCTCAAAGAACATTTTCATCATCAGCGTCATATGAATCTGTATAGTTTTTTCATTTTACTCATCAATTATAATAACAAATTAATGAGTCGTTTTTTTTTTACTATGAAAATTGATATCCTTTTGTTATTTAAAATGTATGATTTATTCTCTAATATAATTAGTTGTTGTATAGTTGATTATTATGTATTCTCTTTTCTTATTTGAAAACTTGTTCAATATTGAGATGATATTAAAGATAGGATTATTTTTTTCTTAATTGTAAATATAATAACTTAAACGAATTATTTACCTTGAAAAATGGAAACAATATATTCAAAAATCATTTTTTTCTTATGGAAGATCATAATGACTATGAGTACACATAATCATGATAACAATTTCTTATGGTAAATAAGTTTTTTTTTGCATTACGTTCAAATAAAAATATATTACTCCTCGTTATCTGCACGTCGTCCAGTGTCTATTATTGAAGAAATCTTTTAGTTCGAACGTGTAGCTTTTGAAAAGAAAATAAAAGTTTTTGTATACTGGTTGTCCAAATGGCTAAGTTTAGTAAAGTGAGCGTACCATCTTTAGCCATGATCCAACAGACCCGTTTCCAAGGACAAAAATTACATGTCCATCTGTCATGCGAAAAATGCACACTGTACACAATTAATCTAACGAGCTCTAATTCATTTTCTATTTCAAAATACTCTTTAAAACTAACTAACCTTGAACATTATGCCAAAAGTATGTAAAAAGAAAGGAAAACATTCTTAGTAAGTGTCTGGATGCCCGTTATAGATGACCTCTTACTATATGTTAGCTTATTGAAATTAATATTGATTATCGCGGATGGAATATAAGTTACTTTAACGATCGGAGATTCAGAAGAATTTCTGCCGGTGCCGCGCCGCGGTGACTTATTAAAAGAAGTTGCCGCAGTGGTTTTCAAGAAAGAGTTTCTAATTCCACTGCTACAACTATATTTGATCATAAATATTGTTATTAGTCCATCAGACTCATTCAGTCTCGGGGTGTTTCATTTGTAAACTCTGAAACTCTATTAAACTTATGCTGTTATTCAATGTCCTCCGAAAAAATGCTGCCGCTGCCATGGTGTTTTTTTTAAAAATCGTACCGCCACCGCGGAAGCGTCACTATCAGAGTTGTAACCGGTAGGGTTTTTTCCTTACCGGTACCGGTACCGGTCTAACTGGTCAGACCGGACCGGACCGGCCGGTATACCGGTATAAATTATTCCTCTGTTTTCTGACCCTATAACACTCAAATCAATACCTAGATGAGTCATATATTCCTTCTAATCACCACAGCTATGATATAAAAGTACTATTTCGCCACTGCAGTGCTTTTTACTATTTGCTTTCGTATGTGTCCTGTTTCTCGATATCTGTTGGTGAGCACAAAAGTTCATACGACCATAAATTCTATGTTAATTTTGCACTTTGATTAAGTATTCATCAAATATGGGCTCTATTTATTGCTCGTATGCTATACTCGCTTTGTTATCTTTCGTGTCTGTCAGGACTATATGCAATAAATAATGGGAAATACAAATAAATCCATAATAAACTACAATGCTAAACAATTAATCATTTGATTTTATTTGAACAACACCGATGTGGTTCAGGAAACGACACTTTGTCGGTTAAAATAGTTTTTATTGACTAAAACTATCGTTTATCATACCTAAACGTCGTTTCAAAACAGAAAATAGCTGGAAATTGACCTTCGTAAACGCTGCGGAAACGTTTCTGTATGCATTTGAGCTTATATACACATAATAACATTTCTGTGCTGTTTACGAAGGTCAATATCCAGCTATTTTATTTTCTGAAACACCGTTTAGGTATGATAAACGATAGTTTTGGCCAATAAAAACTGTTTTAAATGATAAAATGTCGTTCCTTGAACTATACGGGCAGAACGTCGTACCAACATGGATTGGATAAATATAAAAACATCCATGACAAATTTTGACTCAATAGGATAGTTTGATACAATTTTTTTTACCAAAATAGTCTTCGAAATTAGTAAAAAGTTTTTGATTTTCGAAAAAAACCACCTTTTTGATCATTTTTTCGGAAAAAAATAGGTAAAAATTCAAAAAAAATTCAGACTGGGCCGGTAAAGAAAAAGTTGGTTCTACCGGTCGGCATACCGGCCGGTAAGAAATCTTCTACCGGACCGGACCGGACCAGGCCGGACTGGCCGGTCTGCCGGTCCGGTTACAACTCTGGTCACTATGGTCCATCTCTAGTGCATTCATTACGGAATTAAAATATGAACGACGATTTTAGCTGCAATTACGCTTCACAAGGAAATTGTTTTATGTTACCTATTTTCAGAGAGATTTCTTCATCATCTTTTTACTTTTAATCCTCCAGAAATGCAATAAGTAGTTCACATATTATAACAAGACATTATTTATAAACGGTCTGTTGAGAATTGAAAATATTCGTCTCTATACTTCAACATTCCTTTTAGATAATGTTTCACATAAATGAATAATTGTAATGCCTGTTAATCAAACAAATGTTCCAAATACATTTTATTGTTTATAACTATTAATCTCTAAAACAAAAGGAAGCTGTTAGAAAAATAGTCCAATCAATTAAACACTAGTGCCATCTATTTTCTATATGATTAAAATAATTTATTTTAATAAATATAAAAAAACGAAAATAAGCATGATAATTTCGAAATCTATTTTTCTTGAATTATTCGATTGAAAATAAAAAATAAAAATTGGTTTATAAAGGCAAATACCATGGATAAATAGAGGTTCATGGTTTGAAATCCAATCTAAATCGATTATTGAATAATTGTTTAACTTGATTGTTTAGTCTAACATATTTGAAATATTAATAATGGTACTTCCGACATTACATTCGCATTATGCGACTAAACATCTAGCAACACCTCAACAAATAATGCAAAGAAAACAAGAAATTGAAGCTGAAAAAAGGTAACAATTCAATTATATTTCCAATATAAAATTAATTATTTATTTTTTAGAGCTCAATGGGCTCAAACAGCTAATTATTTCATAGCGCAAACTCGTCATAATTCTGTACAAAGTCACTGGACATCACCTACTTCAGCTGTTATAAGGTAAAATAATATTGAATTTTTTATTTATGTTTAATCAATTTCTAAAGTCATGAAGCAAATCGTGCTCAACAAGAAAAAGAAGAAAAATTAAATCAACTTGAACAACGTCGTAATCGTCTTGCTGCTATTCTAGAAACTGAAAAAACACAATTTCAGGTTTCTACGTGTTTTCTAAAGAGAATAAAAACAAAAATTTTTCTTTTTTTTTTTTTTTTTTTTAAGAATGAATTAGCATCAGTTCGTCAAGCATCACGTGAATCAGTTCCTGATATGAAAATACGTGCAGAATCTCTTCGTTCAGCACGTGAAAAAGAACGTCAAGCTGTAGCTAATGAAAAATTATATGAACATTGGATTACAAATGATCCTGATTTACGTTCAATTGAACAACAAAAATTAGAAAATTTACAACCTGAATATTGGTCCGAACAACTTAATGAAAAACATTTAGTACAACAACAAGAAGACGAAAATAATTTTAGATATCAACAAGAATTACGTAAACGTTTAGATGAACAAAATAAATTAGAACAAGAAGAACAAAATGAAAGAAAAAGAAGAATTGAAGAATTAAAAATTATTTTACAACAACAAATGGATGAACTTAAAGAAAGAGAAGAAGAGGTTCGAGTTTTTTATCTTCTTATTTTATTTCTTAAAAAAGAAAAACAAACAACATATTTTTTATTTTATACTTTTACATAAATACAATAACGAATGATCGAAAAGTTATTTGAGTAATTGATAGATCTCAGATTTATTAATTAGAAATTTATTGAAGAATGATTAAAATTTAAGAATTAAAAGTATACATATACAACATTAACTATGATGCGATGTGCGTATGACTATAGGTTTTCTCTTCAGCAACAGTCACACTCCTCTAGAGCTCATCGGGTTCAAGAATTTTTGGGCTCAGACCCGATTGATTAAAATTTTTTCGATTCGGTCGATAAAATTTTTTGACTCAGACCAGGTCGATCAAAATTATTGGATTAATTGATTGATTTTCAATGGGTAGAGCCCATCGGATTCAAGAATTGCTGGAACCGAACTCGCTTGGATCCGGGTTGGATCTGATAGGCTCCATACTTATACTTCAATGAAAGAAAGATAACTTTCAGTATTTATTTAATCTTATTGGTTGTTTTAAGAACTTTCGAGATTTTACCCTTAGATCTTATTCCCTTCGAGCAATTAACAGTCTCCTTTTTCTTCCTATTTTTCAGCTTTTTTAAATTTTTCTGGGAGATTAGATTTTTTTTCAAGATTTTCTCGGAGATATTCGAAATATAAAGTAAATCTGTGTTTTCACGAGATCCTCATCGGGATGTGATACTCTATGTATGTTGTCGTGTGCGTTCGTGCAGTATCTCTTATACCTCTTGCGCTGATAATTAATTGAGTTTTCTAAAGATATACGTACGAGGACATCATATGATTTTTGAGTTATGAGCCGATATTTTATAGAAGTCCATAAATCCATTTTCGACAGAGAAGATTGACATTCTTTGCTTCCCGTTTTTTTTGCATAGAATTAAAGGCAAACTTTTTTTCAATAGAGTAATATAATTCATGAATGGCAGACATCAACTTATAAGTCTATTGTACATAGAAATCAAGAAGATTGCTTCAATTGATATGATGTCTCTTATCAGAACACTCGTTGTTAACAAATGACTTAGAACTAACGAATCATTAATTTATGAGCCTCTAAAAAGTCGACTTATAACTTCTAAATGAGAAATCCTACGAGAATTTTGAATTCATATTTGGAAAGAACACAAAGGTCTGATTCTATCCAATGATTTCAAATTTCTGTATATAGAACCAAAAAATTCTTTCGTAATTGAATGAGAAGTCCAAGAAAAAAAACGATTCTAAATGGTAGAAAACTTTCTTGGAGATCTTAAGAATGATATTAAAACAAAAAGTCTTATTCTAGGACAAGGACAGATTTCTGGGAAAAATTATTTTGAGAAGGCAAATATTCAAGTTCGATCTTCTTGAAAATTTCACAACAGATATAATCTATTTTGAAATTCTAGAACTTTTACATTATAAAATCAGAGCATTATTCTCTAATTAAGTTTAATTAGGTGGGAGCTGAAAAACCGAATATTTATTAGATATATGAGAAAATAAATTGTTCAAAAACAAAAGTCCTGATAAAAAATTAAACTAAAATTGAAGATAATCATGTCTTGTTTGCACTGATTTTGCTTATATATGGAATTTTCTTTACTACTTAATCCGTTGGTTTTGAAAGCATTTTAATATAGAACTTCGAAAGATATGTATTGTATAAATTGTTATCTTAATTTTAGTCGGAAATATTAAAACAAGAAGAAGAACGTCTTCTTCGTGAACAATGGGAATTAGATCAATATGACGAAGAAAGAAAACAAATGGAAAAACGTTATATTCAACAAGATTATGGGTATAGGTTTTTATTAAATTCTCTTTTCTATTTACTTGTTTTTATTTAAAGTCGTCAACTTTTACGTCAACATAAAGCTAAATTACATAAACGAGCTAAAGAAATTCAAGAACAATTGGTTTGTTGGATTTAATTATTATTATTCTTTTTTCATTTAAAATATTTTATTTCTTGTTTTTTTTTTCTTTTTTTTTTGAATTTATAGGAATTAGATATGAAAATTCTTGCATCAATTGCTCAAGCAGACGAAGAAAGTCGTATTGAACAATCTGAACAACGAGAACAACTTAGACGTGATGCATTACATATGCTTAAACAATTTCAACACCAAATGAAATTAGAAAAAGAAAAAGAACAAGAACTTGATGCTATGTTTCAGTAAGCTATTCTCTCAAAGAAAATAGTACAAATTTTAAGTCAAAGTTTCGTGCTTTCTGAACACTTCTCTCCATTACAAACCTTAGTAACCACAGATGTAAATCAATCGTTCTAATACTACTGTCACTCATAGTTGCGCAGGCAAATATAAGAGGTTTATGTAGCGAACAATATTGGTTGAAATTTTAAGATTAGAGAGAGAAGCAAGTAAAGGAAAGAATGTAGAATCAAGGTATTAATATGTACAATAGTTATAAAGGATGGGTCGAAAGTTTCTAGACAAAATATTTGACTATTTTACGCGTATTTAAATGCATTAGTAGTGTATCAGAATGAGAATTTTGTGCTCTTTCAGAATATATACTTACAATTTTTCTTTCTGTAGATATCAAACAAGTTCAGTAAATATATAGTACGTAAGAATAGAGAGTGTTGATTAATACGCTGAAAAATGACAGAGGCTCATTTTCAATCCAAAGTCATAGAAAGATTCCAATGAGGAAACACTACCTCCAACTGACACCCACCGTTTGAGTCCATATTGAACTGGGAAGAAGGTCTCGACGAAGCTAGTCGAAATCTAAAAGAATTCGTCCGCATAGGACTTTGGCGCTAATTTACTGGAATTTTGACCTATTATTTTGCCTATAGAGACGGATATTGACTCTCAGAATATTCTGCAAGTTTCAGCTGAAAAGAATGTTCTTTCGTCAAGATATTCTAAGAGCTAAGATATGTATCTGTGAGCAAAATTTTGGATCCAAAACCGGTTATTCGGTTCTTCGCAAGGTACCTAAAATAGGTTGAAAATTCAATGAATCAGTCATAACTCGACGTCAAAGGTCCATAGAAACGAACCCTTTTAGACTTTTGCTAGTCTTACTGAAGCCAACCTGTGGATCCAAGCTGATATCAGTTCCCTCGTAAGCATAAATTCTGAAATAGCACAAAATTCTCATTCTAATACACTACCAATGATCCGAAAAATAGTCAAATATATTCTCTAGAAACTTTCGATCCATCCCTTAGGCGATGTTTCATGTACGAAAATATATGTGAGTTCTACATTTCAGTTCCGAAAAGGTTGCGCTAAAAAGTTTTTTTTTATACATTTATTTGTTTTTTTAAAGAGAAGAAGCTGCTAAAGAATGGGCACGTCGTGAACAAGAATGGGATCGAGAAAAAGAATTACGTGAAAAATTAATGCGTCAAGTTATGGATGAAAGACAAGAACAAGTTATGGAAAAATTACAAGCATTAAAAGAACAACAAAAAGAAACATATGAAAAACGACAAGCACTTATTACTGATATGGAACAAGCTAGAAAATATGATTTAATTGAAAAACAAAAACAAATCAAAGAACGTCAAGAGAAAAAACAAGATTTACAAAGACAAGTAGATTATTTTCTTTTTCTTTTTTTTTGTTTTTAATAGAAATTAGAATTGAAATAACTTTCAATTAGATATCAATTGCACAACAAGAACGAGCACACTCTCAATTAGAATTAGAAAAACAAGATGCTATTGAACGTGAAGGGAAAAAACAAATGGATCAATTAGTACAAAAACAAAAAGCTGTTATTTCTGCTACGACTGTTGAACCGAAAGTAATTTAGATTTTCTTTTATTATTTTCTTCTTTTTTTTTTGTCTAATTTAAAATTATTTTATTTAGTTTTATGGTCGTCGTCGTGCTAATTGGAATTAATTGATTTTTGTTTTTGTGTGGTGTCGATATATAAATCTTTTCTTTTACATTTTATAATTTCAAACGATTAAAATCGTTTAAATCAAGAAATTATAATAATTTTCACTTCAATATTTGAAAAATAAATTCTTGTTGGTATTAGCCATCTTAAATACAAATAGATATTAGATTAAAAAATTAATTCTTTTCAACTTTAACACAATTACTTTTACAACTACTAATTGGAGTTAGGGAGCTGCGAGTCCACACTTTTATGGATCTGGACACGTTCGGATCCAAACCCAAGGTTTTTTCATCAATATCTGTCATCTGTCGTGTACATGAACAAGTGAAGAATCAAGGTTTCAACTATTTATGTGCTACTCTCAGAAAATAACTCAACATACAGTTATATCTTGTTGCCTTATTTCTCATCTGGGAAGCAGTGGGTCCACAAAAACGTGTAACCGGATTCGAGAAAAAATAAAAGGTTGAATCCGAACCCGACCCGCAGCTCCCCACTAGGAGTTCGTGTGGACTTTCATTGATAAAATAAATATAGTACGCGAAGTTGTTATTTGTTTATCATGAACCTGTTAAGTCTCTAGAGAAGACTTAATTACAGAAAAACAGTTAATTTAAACTAATATTTGTTCATGGTCTTATCATTGTCTATTTTCAAGGCGTTTAGAATCATGTATCAGTATTCACATATACTTTGAAGTGCTCTACATAAGAAGAATTACCAAATCAACACATAGCTGACCGATTTACTGATGTATCACGAGTTTGAAGATCTATATTGATAAAATCATAAAAACTTAATAAAAAATAAATAGAATCGGATATAGTTAATGCAATAAATAAACAATTTGTTGAAATATGATTCAATATTGGTCGAAGAAAAATTAGAAAACTATTTGTATGACCAAATAAACCAAGAATAAATAGAAGAGCATATCCAAAAAGTGCAATATTACTTTGAATAACTGTAATAGGTGATGCTGAAAGTGGAGGTCCTTGAGGAGAATTATTAAATATCAGTAGTGCAAATATAGATGCATTCATATTATAAGAAACTCTTCAATCTTTTTGTACTTATGGTTCTAAATCACTGACAACATCTCTGATATGATATTTAAACATAGCAAATAATCATTGATATCATATTAGTATTTATTTGACAAGTTTTTCTTTATGTGACAGATAGACAAAATCTATATTATGCGAATTAAAAAAATGACAGAAAATAATTAAAACATAATTAAATTTACATGTCAAATCCAGAATCTACGTAGAAGACGACATTTTCTTGTTCAAACAACTTACGTGAGAGTCGCTCGAATTGATTCATCATTTTTGAACATATTGAGAGGAATTTTAAACTAAAATAATCGCAAAAAGATTACGCCTCTCGGTACTGGAAGTTAGTAGTTATAGGAATGTATCAGCTGACATTCGAAACAACTGTTTCTCAGCTATTGTAAGTAGAAAACATATCGATGTGCGGATCAAATAAAAGAAGACCGTGGATCATTCCAGGATTAACCTGGACAAGCCTATGTTTTGTCCATACAATAACTGAGAAATAGCTGTCTCGAGTGTGAGCTGTACATCCCTACCACTACTAACTTTCAGTACCAAAAGGTGTTGAGGGTTTCGAACTTGCACTTTCCTCCTTGGATGAATCAACTCGGACGGTTTTCTAGTTTGTCAAGTGTCTGATACATATCTCATTAACATTCAAATATATAAATTACATAGAATGATTGAAAAGTTCTCAGAACTCTCTTCAGTTCTTACTGCTTGACATAATGTAAGGCTTTCTTTTTAGCATTGAAATAGTAGTGTCAAGACTAGACGAATGTTGACCTGCTTGAATACTTATTGTATTTGCTTTTAGCAATCATAGAATTTTTGTTTCTAAATGATATATTTTGAGATGAATAAGATTCATGTGTAATTCTATATTTGTATCAGAGAAAAACTCGACTGTCCAGCAAAACTATCTTTCATAGGGAATTTAATAATGCATGAGATGAAGGTTATGTGCCATGCAACGCTTCAAATAGAATGGAATATCCTTAAGAGATAATTATTATCATTCAATAGATGATATTAGAAACTGACTTGTCTTATAGCACTATTAGCAGGTTCATCCATTATGAGCTGAACTTGAAAAAGCTGTGTGCAAGATGAATACAATGTTAGCTGACCGAAAAATTCAAGTACTACCAGATTAACATAGATCAACAAAATCTTGCCACATTGGAAATCAATCAATGGCGCCTATATGATATTATTATAGAAAAAAAAACATCGATTTATCATCGTAGCATTGATTAGAAACACTCCAATATGACATGTTGTTTCGAAGATTAAAGCCCAGCAGCGCAGTAGTCAGTTGAGGTGAACGAGGAAAAAAATTTATTTGCCGTCTTCTATAGAATAACAGAATCGGAATTTATGCACATGATTGAATCCAACAATACAATATCTGTTGTCTACTACAAAAATAATTGTCTGACACATTTGATTAATAATATTAGAGAAGAAAGATTAAAGTCTAATTTACACACCATAAAGGTGTACTACGACAAAACACGACCTTATAAATCGAAAGATATTAAAACACCCCTTCAGAATCAAGACATGTTTGTGATGGCTCATTCTCCTGACTTGGCACTATCCCGTTCTTTGCTATTTGGTTATTTGAAACGGACATTCGACAGTTATTCTGATTCTAAATCTTTTTAACAAGCAGAGTTGTAATCGATTGGGAATTCTCGAACAGATTCAAAAAACTGCTCAGATCGGTAAAAATCAGCGAAAGCTGACCGATTTCTTAGGTCATTTAATATCGGTTAAAAGGAAAGACTTTAAAAAAAAACATTCATCTTTCTATTTTATGCTTAAGTTGTTGGAATGTTGCAGAGAAAATATTGTGCCATGGGTGTTCTCATATCTGTAAGATTTCCAAATATAAATATCGGATGTTCCTCTCACACAAAAAAGAGTCAATTTGTCATTTAGCTGATTGTTTGGCTACAACATGTAAATTTTTTCAGTTAGATTTCACGGGAAAACCTAATGTTTCTCTTTGAACAATGGTCCAAATTCAAATATATTCTCTAACAAAACATCAATGAGATAAATTGAGAACTTTATCTTTGTTAACACAGTTTTCATTGTGTTTTTCAGGAAATAAAATAAACTTGATTTCAAAAAAATAAAAGTTATGCATAAAAAATAAGAGGAAGTATTTTGAACATTTAATGGAATAAGATTTTTAAAAATATTATTTATTCAATTAAAATGTACATATTTCAAAAACTTTTCGATCATTCTATGTGTTACACTCAGTACCGCAAATTCGGGTTCATCGGATCAAAAACTTTTGCATCTGAATCCGAACTCATAACATTGCTACTCTGAATAAAATTTTCTAATCGAAATTCAGACGACTATAACCCGTCGAATCGAAAATTTTCGAACTCGATCAGATCAGAAAGCAATCCGAGAGATTCTACTGCTAATTCGCTTATTTATTTTAATATGTATTCAAAATACAATATCAGACATAACAGAAGAATAAAGTTCACGATGTCTTATTGAATAAATAAAATTTTATTTTAGAGTATACATTTCTCCAATTGTAACAAAAAGTAAGTAGTTCTATGATATTTCCTATAAACGTAAAGAAAATTTTATTTTATTGTTCAAATTTTCTTGATACATTTGCTTCATGCATCAATCGAATAATATCTTTTCGAGTTAAAATACCTTGAAGACGACTAAAAAGAAAAAGAAAAAGAAAAACAAATAGATTGTTATTAATTATTTTAGAAATAAAAGAAAAGAATGATACCCATTTTTTGTGACAAATATTTGTCGACATCCTAATTTTCTAAACATATCTACAACAACTTCCATTGGTGTTTGATCAGTAACAATAATTGGTGCTCTATCAACTAATTTATGTAATTGTAAAATTTTTGATGCTTGTAAAGCTAATGATGCACGACGCATTCCTAATGATGATGGTTGACCTGATTTATTTAATAAATTTGACATTGATACAACTGATATTTTTCTATTAAGTAATGGTTTTGTTTGTGTATATGTTAATTGCATTTTTCGTGATTTAAGTACAGCTAATAAATCTCTTCGTTGTATTTGACCAACAAGACAAGGAAAATCTTCACTTATAATAACAGGATAAATTGAATGTGGATGTTGACGAACCATTGTATCAATTCGTGATATAGTCATACCATCTTGCATTATACATGCTAATGGAGGATTTTCACCTGAACGATTTGCACGTATTGCTTCGCCAGCTTTTAAAGTAAATGGAAAACTTTCACGACTTTCTAAATAAAAAAAAGAAAAAAAGAAAAACAAATAATTTCATTTTGTTCATATTGACTTTTATTTTCTGATTATTACTTAAATATGGATAACCACTTAATTTAACATATTCTTCATAAATTCCTTCACCAAATGCATCTCCTACCCATTTTGCTGTTAATGCTGTAACCATTAATGGAACTATATAAGATAAACCACCAGTAACTTCACTCATAATAACAACAAGTGAAACAGTCATTCGACTAACTCCACCTAAAAATGCACATGCACCAACAACAGCATAAAGTCCAGGTGTAACACAATGTTCATTTGATACTCCACATTCATGTCTTAATATAGCTAAATGTTGATTTTTAAATGCTATTTGTTCTGTTATAATACCAATAAGACGACCAGCAATAGCTCCTATTGAAATACTTGGAATAATTAAACCTGATGGAATTTTTGTACCAATTGTAAAAATAACAAGAGTTATTTGAACAATTAATGCCCAAAATAATTGCCAAATAGCACGATGAAGACCAGGACCAGCTACAGCAGCATATAATTTAGCTGTAGCTGTTGCTATTGGTTTGTCTCGTTCATAATCACTATAAACATAAAATATAATTTATGTTTTGTTTAATCTATAGATTGATTCACAATGGTGATATCAATCAAAGATTTATGTTAAAATTTCTTTGCTTATTTTGGAAAAAAAATTGTATTCAAAAACATGAGCGCCATAACTCGTGAATTTATTCATCATTTTTCAAACATATATTTAACAACGTCGTAGAGTTTTGTGAATTTTTTATCAAGAGAATTAATCATTCTGTTTCATTATAAATGTCAATATAAATCGTTAACTATGTAAAGAAAAACAAGATGATACTTTCAAACTTCCGAATATTTTTATTATAGTTTCAATAAATGTTGCCAGAGAATAACCTATAAGATTTTTTTCATTTTCATCATAATACTAAACCAGAAATCGGAAATAAACTGAACTCGAACCAGTAAAATCGGGTTCGGTTCGATCTCTATACTAAATGATTTGCAAATAAACCTTACGAAGGATTACTATAACTAAAATTTGCCGTTTGAGCTCATATTGAATTCACAGACAGGCCTCAGTAAGACTAGTAAAAACTTAAAAGGGTGGGGCCGTGATGTTGAGTTATGACCGGTTTACTAGATTTTCTATCCATTTTAGGTACTTCTCGACAAATCAAATAACTGAGTTTGAATCCAAAATGCTGTCCATAGATACGTATATTCACCCTTAGAATATTCTAGCAGTTTCAGCTAAAAAGAATGTTCTTTTGTCGATTTATTGAATTTTCAATTGAATTCGATATTTGTAACATGTCTGTAAGGAATGACTACTTTTGGAAATTCAATATCTTGAACAAAGAATATTCTTTTCGGTTGAAACTTTCAGGATGTTCTAAGAGTTTATATGCGTATCTATACGCAAAATTTTAGATCGAAACTCTATGATTTGATTTTTCGATAACTATCTACAAAAATGAGTCGAAAGTTCAATAAGTCGACCATAACTCGACGCTGAAGGTTCATGGAAACAAACCTTTTTAGGTTTTTTCTAGTGTTATCAAATGCTCCTTCTAGGCCTAATATGAGCTCAAACAGCAAATATCAGTTGAGGTAGTTCCTTCATTAGAGATCTTCACTCATGAGAGAAGTACTCCAAGTGGTTCAACAGCTTTTGAAGTAATATTTTGTTCATAAGTAGGATCTGATGAGACTAGAAAAAGCCCAAATGGATAAGGGTCCATATGCCATTCTTTCGAAGCTGTGACCGTTTTACTGAATTTTCGACCTATGACAAGGTAAGTTAGAAACAAAATCGAATGATGCAATTTCGACCTGAGATTTTGCTCACAGATAGGTCTCATTGTTCTTAGAATGCGCTAAAAATTTAAACGAAAGAGGATCTTTCCTTGTCGACATAATGGATGTACAAAAAAACTTGATTTTTCTGAGTTCTTTTTGATAATGTGAATATTTTTTGCAAATTCATTATCTCAGGAAGAAAACATTTGTTTTCATTGAAACTTTTAGCGCATTATAAGGACACTAAGACTCACCTGTGAGCAAAATTTCAGGTCGAAATTTTATCGCTCCATCTCGTCCTAAATATTTTGTCATAGGCAGAAAATTCAGTAAAACGGTCATAACTCTGGAAGAAAGGCACATGGGCCCTTATCTTTTTGAACTTTTTTCAGTCTCATCAAATCCTAACTATGGACAAACTATCAGTTCAAAAGGTTTTGAATCACTTGGGACACTTTTCTCGTCAGTTAATTATGAAAGACTCAAAACGGCGATAACAATCTTTTTTTAATGCCTGTTGATAGTCAAAAACAATCGACTACAATTATGTTTATTCAATCAAACAGAGTTTTAATATTCAATATGATGCATTTTAATCGATTATTTATCAGTAACTTTACAACAAAAATAATTTTATTGATATTTATTCTCTAAAACAAAATTATGAATCAGTGTTGAAATCTATCGTAATAGACTATGGCAAATATCCTGGTCTATTATTATTATTATTAAAATCCTCTTCTTTACCTATGTTTCTTACTTCTATTCTGTCAACAAGTTTGTTTTTTTTTCTATAAAGAAAATAAACGTACCATAAATCCATATGATCATCAAGATGACATTGTCCAACTAAACGTCTTATTAATTCAGGCATTGTTAATCTTAAATAACTATTTGGATAACAAAAAATAGCTGTTATTAAAGTTAAAACAATAACTTCTGCTCTTGGATATCTTCCAATATGATTAGTTTTTTTATATTTTAACCAATTAATATTTGTTTTTATAAATAATGCTCCCCATAATCCACCTAATATACCAAGACCAATAAATGGTATAACTTCAAATGTTGCCCATGGTACATTATATTCAACGGGAAATTGTATTTCATGTCCATTACCATATGGATTTATTGTACGTACAACAAGAGCACCAATCATACAACAGAAAAATGTTCGCCATAATGTTTTATATGGAAAATAATAACTTATTTCTTCTAAACCAAATAGAATTCCACCTATTGGAGAACCAAAAGCAACAGAAACACCTGTAGCAGCAGCTGCCGATAATATTTCACGTTTACGTGCTTCATTATTACCATATTTAGGAAAAAGTTCTAAATTTTTATGATACAAAGAAACAAAGAAAAAAGAAAAGAAAATAAGTGAATAAATTCTAAATGTAAGAAAAAGAAGAAATTGTTTTAATCTTACTTGAAAATAAATTTCCACAACAACATGATATATGTACAAATGGACCTTCTTTACCAACAATAAGACCTGCACTTGTTGCAAATATCATTCCAATACTTTTTATAAAGAATGTCCATTTTCCCAAATAACCATACATTATAAAACCCGATAAAATTGTTTTTATTTCAGGAATACCTTTAAGATTTTAAGAGAAAAAATTATGACATCATCGAGTATAAGAGACTTTCGATAAAAACAAAATACTTTATCCTTTTGTTTTTTTGTGCATTTAATACATCGATATTTAAAACTACAAAACCTAAAACTTCAGCATTCAATGCCGACTTTTTGCTACAATCACATCCTTATAAGACAAAAATACCAAAACAAAGATCTTGTAAAAGTTGCGCTTATTTTCGTTTCGATGAGTGATTCAAATTTTTCATTACATTATACTAAAAACTGAAGATAATGAATTTGTTTCAATATAATATAGTCTTGATTAACTCAAATTTTACAAGGCTAAAATGAGTGAAAAAAATGGTTCTATTGATGAGTCTAAAATGTGTCTATTTGTTAACAATCTATCTTCTCTTGGAATTCAATATTAGAGAGTTTCAAACTCAATTTTTTTATATTTTATTCAACTTTTTATTCTCTACAAAATATTCAAAAATAAATAATATCTCGGTACAAAACTGGATTCACACCTGTCTCTTACTTAATGATTTTTCAATAGAAAAAATAATAATATTTTTAGCGGTTTTCATGGTCATAATACAATTTTTAAAGCAAAGTAAATGCAACCTTCTCAAATCAGTGTTAAAAACTACATTAAGTCAAACACATTTTAAAAAATTTTTTTCCTACGAAAAAAATTCAGCTATAGTCTTCCACAACTGTGTTTTATTAAAATTTTGCCCTACAGTCTCCTCGGCATCAGTTTTTCACAGAAAAAAGAATTTCTTTACAAAGTATTTGATTCAATGTAGCTTTTGACACTGATTTCTAAGGTCACATTTTTTTTTGCTTCACGCTTGTGTCATGGCAATGAAAAGTATTAAAAATTTGTTTTTTTTTCTATTGAAAAATCATTAAGTAAGAGATAAATGTGAATCAAATTTTTTCTCCGAAGGAATGTTTATTTTTGAACATTTTGTTATCGCCTTGTAAAAAATAAACAGTTGAATAATATATATATATAAAATTGAGCTTGGAACTCTCTAATTTTGAATTCTGACAAAGTGATAAGCATTTTAGATCCATGGAAAAAATCATTTTTCATTCATGTTAGCCTTATAAAAACAGCTCATTTTTAAATTTTGGATTTTATAGTTTCAGACATCGATGCATTGAATGCACAAAAAAAAAGAAAACTGATTTTTATTCATGTACTGCATATATTCGGTTGTTTGATAATTTCTCTCTGGATAATTTACATATAAAATGTATAATATATTTACCTGATCCACTTGCATATGGAGCAGAACCAACAACAAGTACAACAATAAAAGCAGCATATATAACAGACCAAAATATAAACATAAAATATCCAAAAAACCAAGCGCTAACTGTTGATTTATCGATACCAAATATATCCGACCATGATCTCCACTTAATTAATAATATTTTAAAAATTTGTGAATATAATATTAATTTCTAAGACTAACTTACATATTTACATATTTCATTATGAACTTCATCATATTCAACATCTCGTGATGCCCAACAACATTGTTCTCGATTAAGCCAAAATGCTGATGTACAAACACCTGTTCTCCAATGACTCATCCATTTAGCTCCAATATCAACAAAACCAGCTACAATACCTATTTGAACAAAAATAAATTTAAATGATTTTTAAATTTAATATAATCTACCAGCTGATACACCAACTAATAAAACACAAATCCATCCACTCCATGCATCATACCAAAATATAAGTCTTTTTTTACAACTTTGTCTTCGTTGTGCACGTAAATTTCGCTGACGAATGCGATTACGCATCAAATCTTTTAACCAATCAATTGTTTCAAAATTTTCATAATGTTTACGGACAACATACGTTACATTAGTTACTGAATAAAAATAATTCAATCAGAAGAAGATTTTTCATTAACAAAAAATATCTTTTTTACCTTGATCATTATTATATTTTTTACCAAATCCAATTCTAACATCATCATGATTATCGAGCATAGTAACAGCAGTTGTACTACCTTGTGCACCACCAGTTAAATCAACTTCTTCACCACTCTCAGCATCAATATCATCTAAATTAGGATGATCTCTTTGATTTTCATATTTGACATTATCATCTTCATCACCATCCATGCTAGGTACAGGTGAAAGATTAAATCGAGCACGATTATCCAGCGGTGAATCACCTAGAAAAAAAATAGCCATTTATTGGCTTCATTAATATCAAGTATTTTCTACATACGAGCTAATTTTCTTTCACTCCCACCACTACTACTGCTGCTTGATGATGCCATATGTATGATAAGAGAAGGATATTAAAAGAACAATCTGAGAATGAGAATGATCAGATATATAGATACTGTCGGTCAATAATAAAAAGAAAAAAAATCGTACTGAGTTACTGAATTTTTTTATTGTACAGGTGCTATTGGTAGTGCATACATCATGTGAATACAAGCATGATGATTTCAATGTTTTTCATCGTTCTTTCTTTCTCTATGTCTCTCTTTCTTTTCACATTCTTACACATATTCATTTATTTCTTTTTTTTCCCTAACTATCATGTTTGTTCTTTCTTTCAAGGTAAAAAATAAACGACTATATACAATCCATTCTGACTTAATAAATGAGGAAGACAAAACGATATATACAGAATAACTAAGAAAAAAAATAAAAAAATATGATATATCTTCATGTACGTCATTATGTACTTTGCTCGATATTTTATAAAATAATACTTTGCATTTTCTAGATGATCTGTTTTTTTTAATGATTAAAGCTAATAAAAATATTCATAGAGTTAAAAAAAGAAAAAGGATTTTATTCTTTGAATATCTACAAAGAATTATCATCGATAATTTATTATTTCGAAAAATATATTTTTGAAATAATCGATATTAATAAGATCGATTTTACTTCTAGTATCTGATTACATACTCTCGAATATATTTATAATCACTGAAATATTTCTATGTCGAATACATCATTCAAATGATCGATCTCAACTAGCAAATTAACTTCTTATACATGATATGAAAAAAATATTTTTTTTTTTGCTTTTTCGCCTAGTCAACATTGGTATATTCATTTATCTTTGACCTTGAAATAAGCAATGTACGTAGTTTTTTTTTATACGTATACTAATCGACCGATGAAGGATATACACTACGTGTTATTATCTGACAAACAAAAGAAACAAAAATAAACATATGCTATTTTTTTTTTTTGATTGTAATACATTATTGTACATGTAAAAGAGAAAATTAAACATTAGAATAATTCAAAATACTTTCTAAGAAAGATAAAAATTTCCATTTATCCATAGAGGAAAAATGGAAATAAATAATAGTATCATATTATATTCTATATTCGAAGAACTATTGGAATTTAAGGGTTTTTTTTTTTTTGATTTATCTAAAACAGTTAAACTTATCTTTTAATGGTATTTTATATATTCTAACAATGAAAGAAAAGAGTCATATTTCAGATGTATCATTCTTCATCGGAAATGACACTCCTTACCCTCATTCTCAGCTAGATCTCCCTGTTTTTCTCTCATTTTCATCTTTATTCTTATTCTTTCCACTCTCTTATAATGAACATCGAGATTAATATTAAAATTAAAACAAAAATCTCGAAAAAACAGAATTTGAAAGCTATTTATGCAAAGCGACAAATCTTAAATATTCCTAAAAAAATGCGTATAAAAATATTCAATAACTCTTGCAGAATCTCAAAAGGTATCATTCATTATTCATTTCTAAATCAGTTCTGATCATTTTACCATTATAATTTAAAAAAAAAACACTATAGTCATTTTGACAATAATATAATAATACCTAATAATAGAAATAATCATGCAGTTATTCATTTCTATTTAACATATTTGAAATACCCTTATTGCTCCTATAATAAATACACACGCATTGATTTAGTAACACACTACAAGGCAGAAACATAGGTCATGTGGTGTGAATTCTCATAGGAGATTTTATAAGCATAAGATAAGAAAAGAATATCAATAAAGAGCAATCAATATATTAAAAAAACAATGTTCATGGGATAAATAACAGCTGTTTTATATAGAAGATAATTCGATAACCATACAACTGCACATATATAATAATATTATTACAAAACCATTTTTTTTTAAATATTTATATGTTGATATATCAATTAAAAATTTCAATTAAAAATCGATATTACAGAAAACTTAAAACAAAAGCTTTTTTCGTTCATATCGAGAACATCCGATTTTCTTTTCTATGATTAACTAAGTTGTTGTTTGTGATATATAAAAAGAATGAACATAGTTATTAGACTTTTCACTCACAAACTAAAATGTTTTCTTACAAGTTTTGTTTTATTTTTAAAATAGAAATTTGTATTAAATATAATAATTAGAAGGATCAATATTTGGACAAATGTTTATTTCGTAACTCAACTATTTAAATACATCTTATCATTATGAAAAATGAGAAGTAAATTATTAGAACTTTTTTCTCTTGAATAAATCATTCTTTTCTTTTTTTTTTCTTTATAAAATTAAAAATTTCAAATTATTTGTTTTGAAATCCATTATCTATGAAACTTGTATCTAGCAGATATGTGACGAAGCACGTTGAATGTGAATAGAAAAGTAAAACGTGGTAACAGAAAAAAAAAAGAAAATATCCAAAGAAATATACGATAAGGTAAATAGGTCATGTCTATTTAATAAATATTTATGTATAGAATAATATTATTTCAATTTCTTTTTGTCTTATAGATGTTTTATTTATTTAGTCTTAATATAGAATCGAATAATTATATTAATTAATTATCAATATTTAAATGAATCATCAATTGATAATAATCATAAATGTCCTATTTCTAATGATCCATGTGTAAAACTATACATATATAACATAATGTCATCATACAGTTTGTTGTAAATCTATTGAACAACAGATTGAAATAGATCTATCATCTCCTGTTTATTATTCTTCTATTTTAACAATTGATGATATAATACCTGTTAAAACATATTTAGTATAAAAAATGCTTGATGATCTCTTAGTTAAATGTAAAATTTGTAAAAGAAAAACAATAAAACGTACTCATTTTGATAAACATTTAAAGAAATGGTGAAAAAAAAAAGAAAATTTGAATGTTCAGCAGCTAATATTCATTGTCCATGTATTGATCTTGATGATCAACTTTCTTGACATCTTAGTTAATGTTCCTATGAATAAATTCGTCCAGTACACAAATTAATCAAATACAAATTAAGTTAAAATTATTATCAGATTGAAGCATAAGTTCTGTACGTCTAGATCAATAGAATTATATTGCCAATATAAAACTACATTTTAAAGAAATTAATTATATATTCTGATACCACTCGAAATTCTCTATCGCTTTGTGTATTTAAGTTTTGACTTGCATTTATTTACTGAAAAATATTTCGAATACAATGAAGACACTCCTACGATCAGATCCCCACGAACTCCATTTTTTGTTCCTTTCTCATGTGTTTTTAAAGTTTTTACCTATACAATATTCCGTTTTTTAGAAAAGTAATTACATATTCTGAGAGCTCTTGAAATGTTCTATCGCTCTATATATTCAGGTTTTGACTTGAATTTATTTGCTGAGAAATATTTTGAATATTGTCAACGCGAGTGAGGATGTCTTCACTGTATTCGAAATATTTTTCAGCAAATAAATGTAAGTCAAGACCTAAATACATACAGAGTAATGGAGAATTCCGAGCGCTATCAGAATATATAATTAATTTCTTTAAAATGTAGTTTTATATTGGCAATATAATTCTATTGATCTAGACGTGCAGAACTTATTTTTCAATCTGATAATTTATTCAACTTGAATGAAATATAATAATTTTCATTTTTGAGAAACTTTTTAACATCTTTGATTCATCAATATATAACATTCGAATCATTACTTAAACAAAATAAATTTGGTTCGGCTCTCAATGTTTATGTTGAATTAGTGCACGATATACAAATGAAAAATATGCTCGAGTAATATATTCTCAAAAAATCATGACAGAATTTCAATTTTCGACAATTGGTTATTCATACATTATAATGATTCGAAAAATCCAATGATTTTATCTTCAATCAGTCAAACATGTATATTTCAAGCATTTGAAATAATGTCTATTAATTATTTAGAAGATATCTCGAAATTAAATATTATTGCTTGTCGAAATAAAAAAATAATTTATTCAAAAATAATCTCACTTGAATATAAAGAAACAAAAGTTATTGAATTTCCACCTTGGGTTAATATTGATGAAATTGAATTTTCTATTTCAAATAATTTTTTTTTATATTAACATGAATTCAATTACGATATATAATCATATCTTTTGGTAATTCTTTAACATTCCGATAATTCGAAATTTGAGCGAAATTTTTTTTTGTCATAATTAGACAGAGTTCGTCGAATTACCTATTGAAATATTATTTTTGATATATTTAGACGATATTTTTGTAGTAAAACTAAGGAAAATTAGGTTAAAAAGACAAATAAGAATTGAAATACATGAAAAGCATCGAGTCTTAGTAGCATCCGTATTTATCCGAATATCTTTTTTCCGATTTGACTTATCTTATAGTTAGGAAAAAATTATGCATATTTTTTGAAAAATATTATTTGATTATTGAAGAAATCGATTTTTTCGATGCGGTAGCAGAAAGTTTCCAATATAGATTTGTGTTCCTAAGATTTAAATTATCTGAACTTCAGATCAAATGTAAACAAATATCATATTATGAATCAGCACAACAATCTGTATCGAATAGTATACTTAATATTCAATAGTAATTTTTCGTCAAATTTCGGTCCGTCCACCCCATCACTGTTATTTTCGAATACTTTGATCTGTGATTACCCGAAGAACGAAATTTGATGAAAATTAGTTTTGAGTATTGAGTATACTATTCGATGTAGATTTTTGTATGAAGCGTGGATGTGGTATTCGTTTCCATTCGAACTGAAGTTCTAATAGTCAAAATCTTAGAACACAAACCCATGTTTATGGCTTTATTATTATATCGAATCAAAAAAATCGATTTTCACGATAATAAAACAATATTTTTTCAAAAAGCATGCGGAACATTTTTCCTAACTATATGACGAGTAGAGTCCGTCGGGTCCAAGAATTTCTGGACCCGGATCCGAACTTTAGCAGTAAAAGTTTAAAAATCTGGGCCCAGACCCAGACCCGACGGACTCTAATGATGAGTCAAATCCAAAAAAATACGGATAAATATTGAGACTAACGAGATTTGATACTTTTGATGTATTTCAATTCTTATTTTTTTTAACCTAATTTTTCTAAGTTTTACTACAAAAATATCGTCTGAATATATCAAAAATAATATTTCTATAGGCAACTCGACGAACTCTGTCTAATTATGAAAAAAAAATTTTGCTCAAATTTCGAATTGTTAGAACTTTATATATAGAATAATAAATGAATGATGGTGATTTGTTTGTTGTGTCTCTTTTCATAAATTTATTGATCATAGAGACAGGCATGTTAAAAATTAAATATCAAACATATGATCTACAATGTATTCCACCCACAATATATATATATCGTATTAGCAAAAAAATTGTCTCAACGCTAACATTGTTTGTCTACATTCAGATATCTTATATTCATAGAAAAAAAAAATCATATAATTCCTCTCACGAGTATTTTGATAGTCACTCTCAAAAAGGATCTTCTAAAATTTCATCCAAAAGGTTTTGTTTTTCAATAGTCTTATTGAGAAACAATTGTTCAAAATAATCATTTCGAAATATAGTACATAAATTTATTATTTATTTATTTTACTTGCATAAACAACAATTTTCACGCCAGTGTATCAATATTGGCTTTATTGTATACAAAAACATATGAAACAAATGTTAAAATGAAAAAACATGAGGGTAAGCTTCACTATTAATAGGAGTTTTTGCGAACAAATTGTACTGGAGTTGAAGTGTTAGATGTAAGCTTTTTGATGTCAATTTGTTGAATCTAAGTTTTGACTTTATTTCACACCAAACTGATCCATAGTAATGTGAGTACTATCATTGATGTAATGTAGATTAGTCATACAATAGTTCTTTTGATTTAAATCTAAATCTAGAAGAAAAAAGAGAGACTCGATTTCAAACTGAAATGTAGGACTTGCGGTTCATAGAATTATAATGATCTATATAGCATGCACTCGCTATTTTCATTGTTTGGGTGTATAACATCATTATAATTCTATAGACCTACACGACCTACATTCTGTAAAGACAACGATGTACACATTGTGAATAAGGTCAGTCATATTGTTGATTGTCGAGTAGTTGTTTGAATAAGATCGAGAATGGAATGTTTGAACTGCTATGTTTGTTGTGGACGTGATTTATTACTTATCTTATTGTATTATGCGATATTTGCCACTTGATATGCTGAGAGGCATGTTGCTTTTTCTCGACCTCTTAAATCTTCGCTTTTTCGAAAAAAGATGATTTTGTTTTTCTTCAAAATTCAGTTTGAAATAAAAAAGCCCATAGACTCAAGTTAGTGAGAACATTGTCATAAGAATAATTCTTCATGTTAGATATGATGTTTCAGTTAGCTCATTATGGAATTGATTATATGACAGATGTTTAATCATTTCTTCATAAATATTTGTCTACAGGGACGGAATAATAGAACCAATCCACATAATGAGTATTCTTAGGAGATGAAAGATTAAAAATATTGTGCTTCGAAATTGTTGTATACAACAAAAAAAAGCGTGTAAATAAAGCACAAACCACAGAGTGACCATTCTTATATCATTTTAATAACACTGTGCTAGACAAAAAAGAGAGAACAATAATGAGGATTCTGATATCAAATATTGAATCGATACAGATGAAAGCATTATCTGCCATGTAACACTCAGCGGATTGTATACAAAAGAAATGTGACAAGGAGTTATAGAAGGCGTTTTTCTGTTACTATAACAACGTTTCATTATGTTGTTTTTTTTATGACGGTTAGTTGAGGTTGCAGATTTGAACAAATCTATCATCGAAAACAGAAATAGATATAAGTTCGAATAAATTGACACTGAACAAAAAGTTTTCAATTTTCTTCTAATAAGCATAACTAATTAATAAATTTACCATCAGCTAAAGTGAACCAATTTCAAATTTTTGATTTTTTTGATGAAGATGATAATGAATAATTCCAAGAGTTAGAAGACGAACGTAATATATGTGATAATATAATTTCGCATCCCTTCTGTTTTATTACTATCAGCATAGACTAAATCATAAACAATAGTTGAATCCCATTTTCCATTGCAAATTTCCAGCTTCATCCATTGGTACTCTAAAAGGACAAGAAACATGTTTCTCAAGATGTTCTCTTATATGCTTAATAAGGCGTTGTCTATACTAGAAAAATAATTCGATATTAATTTCAAATTAAATCTACATGCGTCTACACTTATGAATTTAATGCAACAATCCGAACTGAGATATGACCACTACAATGTAGTCAAAGTGCATAATTTTAGCACGTATTCAAGAAATAAAATGTCGCTTTTATCTCTCTTTGATAACTAATGACTGATTAATGAAACTTGTGAACAAAATATCTACTGCTCTAATTTATTTATTTCAAATATAGATTTGTTAAATATTGTAGTATTGCTTATTCTTATGCTCCAGTCCTTATTCACTTATATTCTATAGTTCATCATATTGAAAATATTTATCTATCGATGATATAAAGCGACTTTATCGAGACACATTCATCATTTTAATTAGTGAGTGGATCAAGTTCTTTCTCTATTGGTGCATTAAATTTAATTCATCTCTGAAAAGTGCATTAAATCTGAATTAACTTTTTGACTAACTACGTTTCTTAATTCAGCATTAATTTTTCTAGTGTGGATGAAGCCTAAGTTATCGCTCGCAAATTCAATAATAAGTTTACTATGATTAATAAATCATTTTGATCCAATAACAATTGATGGTAAGCATGTATGTTCTAATTGAATCATATATTTGTGTCATCTTCTGCTTTATCCTATCGTTTGAGTCCAAGAAGAGTACTCTGTTTAAAGATGAAGAATAAAAGTAACTATCGATCTACACTTTTTGTCATCGGAAACGAGATATTGTGGAATATTGATGGATATCAAAATTTCTGATTCGTGCCATGATAAACGTCTTTCGATATTTGCTGCCTATTTTAAAGAACAATTAACATAGGTTTATATCCACTATGTATAATTATTGACAAACAATGATATGTCATGCAATCATAGACCTATACTTTGGAAAAAGTCGTTACAACTGATAAATTCATCTTCATGATTAGTTATTATATAGTGCATCTCAATTGAATTTTCTCCTTTTGTTTTTCTTATTTCTGACTATTGTAACTTGCTTTTTTTGTGACTATCAGTATATAGCGAGGAAATATAGGCTTCATTGTATCAGATAGTATAATAACCATAAATAACAAATAAAGTTCAGAGAACAAAAAACATACGAAAAAAAAGTGGCATATCTTTTTACTAGAATGAAAAGAAAGAGTAAATCGAATCCTTGCTTCTTCATGTATTTTTATACACATTAACACATATATAGTCATTTATTGTTTTTTAAATTCAAAAACTCATTTTTATAAATTTCTCTTTCTATCTAAATAGTAAAACGCAGTAAAGACATTTTATCAATAAAAATTCTTGAAAAAGTTCAATTTGCAGTCTGTGAATATTGTATTTCGAACTGGACCAAATCTTATACAAGAAAATTGGTTTTATTCTCTTCACCATATTTGTCTTGTAGTCAATCGACACAATGTTGACTTGATATGTCTTTCATCCATTTGATATCTGCTGTCAGTTGATTGATCGCTACACTATTTGTTAACGGTGTGTACGGAAACAGCTGAAAGTCTTAGAAAAAGATTTTCAGAACCGAAAAAACATTTTACCAGATGTACACAGGTATAGAACGAAAAGTACGAGAATAGCGAGAGATAGATATCTGTAACTACCATGAAAGATACTATGATTCTTAAGAAATCAGAAATAATAGCTTTGTTATTACGTCCGCTTCCAACTGTTTTTATATCAATATGTGGCGAAAGGATAGAACGACTGTTTGCTCATATATTCTCTGTTCTCTGAAGTTGATTAGTTATTTATGATTTATGTACCATGGCATGTAGTGAGGTCTATATTTTCTCTCTACATACCGATTGTTGGAAGAAAAAAAAGCAAACTACAATAATCTCAAGTAAGAAAAGCAATGCGAAGATAATTCAATTAAGAAGTGCGGTAAATAATTGAAAAAAAAGAAGTAAAATTTGTTATTGAGAAGACAAGAATATAAATGCTCATAGATATCAATAAACTAGCTATGAATATGAACATTTAATACATTTACATTGCATCATCAGTACTTGAAAGAAGGCCACTATATATGAGAATGATCACTCTAGTCTGATAAATTGATTCTTCTTTTTGTAATTGCAGCTTCTATAGCATATTAAAATAATATGATTTTTTTAGCTATTTATAATGCTCATGTAGTCCTGATGATTTATTACTATTTAGGTTATATATTTTCTCCGAAAATAACACAATTGAGTGTGCTGCTAAAATCTATTGATAAAACATACTATAATCAAACTTGTTCATTCACTATAATTTCTATTTGCTCTTTGAAACATCAAGAAATACCAATGACAAACTTTTAGTTTTGTACAAAGTATATAACTCGAATAATAACAAATCGTCAGCAATACACGACTGCTACAATTTATAAAAAAAAATTTATATTATTCTGTTATATTTTAGAAATTGCATGTAAAAAAAAAGAATCAGGGTATCCTGTCAAATTGATCAGTTTCTATATGAATAATTCCAAGAAAGTGCATCATTCGACATATTCTCTTGTGGAAACATATATTTATGTCCTTAATTGTCGCTCTTTGCAAAAATATTAACCTCAGATATTCAGAAATCCGTAGTGAACAAGTATTTGATTTTTTCAGGGTCTTAATAATGTTTTAAAAAAATAATCAAGGATATCAGTCAATGTAGGATTTAGTTTTCTATTGGAAAAAATCTTTGATATGTTAGTTTTTGATTTCTTCCCAAGTCTTCATCATTTTTTCAATAGAAATGAAATGTCAGGTGATGCAGAATTTACTACTCTTCTCAAAGATACTTGTTTATTACACTAAAACATCTTTCTTCACCAATATTTCAATGCCTAATCTCCAGAAAATTTTCGTATAGAATTATTTAATTTTTGTTTTTTTGATAGTTTGAATGATTTTTCTTCAAGAAACAAAAGACATTGTTGGATAGAACGTACAGAACACTGTCCGACGGACCCTAGTCGTCTGAGAAATGTGTAGGGTGCATTAGTCATCGAATAAAAAAAACCAGGAAAAATTATCGTATCTTCGGGGCATCCATCCAACTTCGATCAGAATATTCCATTGAGAATATCAAAGTACAATTCAATCGGTTCCAAGTCGAAAGTTTTAGACTCGATTGGCTCTACAGTCCGGTACAGCAGTTAATTGAATAAGGACAGATCATCTTTCGAATATTATGCTGAAATTAGCATTTTACGCTTAATTTTGGAAAGAACAAAAAAAAATTTTTTTCATAGTTTTTTTTACATCATACTTGATATATTGTCAAGAATTTTAGATATCGATTCGATTTAAAATTCAAATCTATACTAAGAGTATTTATTCATTTTAGCAACCTGCCAATTCTTGATTTGAATATCAGTTGAAAATACTGGAATCAGCTGGAAGTTTTATGAACATTTTGAAAGTGAATCACATGCAAAACAATTGATAGCAACCATTTGAACAAATTTAGTATCGGATAACGGCAAAACAAAGATATATCAAACAAGATTCTTTTATACAGTAACGTTTGCTTGTTGGATAATCGGTCCTTATTGTTAAACGTTTCTCTAAATATGAAATGAATTCGTCATTTCTTAAAATATTCAGAAATGATAAATGAACTTTCTTATTTAAGCTTCAATACCATTCATCTTCACATAATATAGCGTGATGTATTCTTGATTTGAACAGTAGAAGAATTATAGCATATCAAATACGTGAATCATCTTAATCATTTAGTTCTATATTTGATGAAAACGAGAGTGCAATTTATATTTGGATTGTCGATAGTGGTTGCTGAACAGAAAGAAGAGTTTAGAACTTTCAGAAAAAAGAGAATAAATACAATTGTTCTATCTCTATCGATTTAATTTGAACATTTCCTAATAAATTCATTTTATTCTCTGATAAGGACTTATTGACGGTTTTTTTTTTGTATTTTTTATAAGGTCAACGAGAAGACTTCTGTAAGAGCAATAAGGAAAAAAATCGAGATATGTTGAAAAACTAAAAGACTTTGATTCATGCAAGTTCTTTGTTATACGTCATTAAACGCTTTAATATGATTTGCCAGCATTCGTCTGTCTGTTGCTTGTATATTTTCCTGTAATTGTATTATCGCGATTTGTTCGATCATCTACGGATGATCTTGTTTGATAATTTCGGCCTATAAATATAATATCAAACATCTTTTCTTATTCAAGTTTAAGAGAAAAGAAAAAGAACGCTAACTTGTTGATTTTGCTGTTGATGTTGATGATGTTGTTGTTGTTACTGCAGCTGCTGCTGCTGCTTGTCTTTTTTTAACTTCTTGTTGTATTCGTTCATTTATTTGATCCATCGTTTCGATTGGATAATCAAGTTCTTTTTGAATTTGACGTATTGGTCGCGTTGATATTTGTCGTCGATTCCGTTCCTTATCATCATCGTCAGAATTTAGATTTAAACTCGATAATAAACGATCGGATACTCCACGTGTATATTCAGAATCCTTTTGTAAAAATGAAAAATAAAATATAAATATAATAAACAACTTACTTTTGCACGTAAAATTGCTTCTTTTTCTAAGCGTCGAACTTTTCTTGATGTCCCTAACATATTTAGATAATTGCGCGTGATGTAAGTCCTTTCCTATGCCTTACTATACTTCTTGTATTGCGTATAATAATAACAACGACGAAGAAAGCGATGGTTTTTCTTTTCTTTCATTCCATGAGGATACAATTACCGTCCCTATATCCATTATAACTTGGATAAGTCAGAAAAAAAACTATTTTGTAGAAGAAAGAAAAAGAAAAAGAAAATGTATGGTATTGCTATTTTCGATCTATCTTTATACTCAATGATATGTATAATACAAACAACAAAAAAATATATTATTTGATATTGTATACGTAGAACGATAATATGCAGTTAACAGATCGATCTGTACTTAGTCAAATACACAATATATGGTGACTTCTAGAATCTTCGAAGTACTTCATGGATTGTTTCTTATTTGTTTTTATTGACAAATGGTGAATATAGAATATATATTTGTAAGCATTATCATATATGTAAAATTGAAAACAAAAACAAGATAATGTCTATCAACAATTTATATTTTCAAATACAAATTATTGAATGGCTTTTATAATAGAATTGATGTACGATATTTTTCATCTTTGAAAAGTTCAATAAAACATTAATTTCTTAGTAGAATTCAATTTCTTTTAGAATAATCTTTGTGTATTCACAGTCACGATAGAATATGATTATCTATTGATCCATATCGTTTTCAATAACATTTTGTTCATATTTTGAAGACATTATTCGAAGAGAGTGCGACTGTGTATAACATATTGCTCTTCGTTTACATCTAAATAGAGTATAGGTCTTATCTATAAGCTAATCATTTGGATTGAATGACCAGATTCATTACTTTTTATGAGGAATAGTTTAATCCATCCAGTAACCATTAGAAAAAAAAGAAAATTGTGCAACGATTTGAAAATTTTTATTTTTCGCCTCTGCAATGATAGCGTTGATTAGCGTCATGTTTTTCTTTTTAACTAATATGATACAAAAAAACAAAAAGGATGAAGATATGAAAACAAACAAAAAATTTCATTAGTCACTACAAAATAATACAATTAATAAAACGCATTTTTTTGACAATAAATATTTTGTTTGATTTATTATGTGATAAATTTCACGAAAAAAAGGTTGTTGATAGATATCATTCTTCCTTTTACCTTCCGGGAGTCACTGTAAGATCCATTCGATAGTTTGACATCCATTATCTACCCTTCGAGATGCATTTTATCTTCAAGTAAAAGCATTTCATCATTTCAAACTTATTCATTTTATATGTTTAGCAATCAATAGTTCGTAAAGTTCTCTACAACTAACATCGAGTTAGTTGTGAATTACATGGTTTCTACTAATGTTCATACCATTGGATGTTCAAAGGTAAAGAATTAAATTTTTGTCATATACATAAACTTTTTATCAGTTCTTTTTTAAAGTTAATATATTAAAAGAAATGATACATTTTAAAAAATGAAATACATTTATAATTAATTGCATAGTATAAATTAAAAAAAATAATAATAATTGTTTTCTTTTTTTTGGCTAGAATTTATTCATGAAAACTATCGTTTAATAACAATGTACTGTTGAGAACTGATATGAATGAATTAATTCGAAAGATCGGTATTAACAATACCATTGATGCAATAAGAATTATAACAATACCAAATAGTTTCATACCAAGTCCGACTTTAACCAAGTCGATAATTCTAACATTACCACGTAAGAATATCATAGCATTAGGTGGAGTGGCTACAAACAAAAAATTTGTTTAGAATCTATATGGAAAATAAAACGTACCAATGGGCAACATGAATGAGAGTGAAACAGCCATACATGATGGCAAAATAAGACGAGCTGCATGAATTCCTGTTGTTTTTGCCTATAAAATAATATCAAATAACGATACCGTTATAGAGAATCGAAATGATAGAGAAGTCACAGTATAGAAAGTATCTAAGACTGTAATGATCATATTTTTAAGATTATTATAAAACTTTCCTTTTGACTTCTTTTAAGATCTTTTCAATTTTGTTAGATATGATTTCATGAATAAACTCAAAAATAAAAAGTTAATAATAGATAAGAATATATCTTACAATGCTACCGAGTATTGGAAATAAGATAGTTGCACATGCAAGATTACTTGTAAATTCAGTAAATATTGCACTCAATACAATAACAACAAAAATAATAGTTATATCAGAAGCTCCAACAATAAAATGAAGAAAACTTGCAACTGTTTCCGATAGATTCGATTCCTAAAATGATAGTGATACTTTTAGAAACCAAAAAACAAGACTTAATTCATTTTCAATTTACTTTGAATCCTTCAGCAATAGCCAAACCGGCACCTTGTAACATAAACACACCCCATGGAAATTTTTTCGATAAATGATCCCAATGAATGATAGGTTGGTATTCCCATTGTTCTAGAATAATTTTTAAAGTAAGAATTTGAATGTAGTCTTCAAAAAGCAATGGAGTGTAGATTAAAAAAAGTTTGTGTCTTTTGTTTTTGTTGTCGTTTATTTGGCGTTGGTCCTGATGGTGAAAAATCTCAAGAAGCATGGACGTTCAAAGGTTTTCCTCGTTTTTAAAAATGCCAAGTATTTGTAGTGATAACTAAGGAATATTTTACTAACAAAATCATGTCATTTTTACGTTAGATTCAGCTCGAATAGTGATAATTGTTTCTTTGATACATATGATTCGAGAATGAACCAGAAATGAACTAAATATTACAAGTCTTGTAGGATCCTTACGATTTCTCATCAAATTTCCAAGGTGTATAGCTTTCAGATCATTTCATGAGGCTCACACTCTTCTAAATTTTGACCCTTCGTGCGAGGCCTGGACCAATCGATAGAAAAAATTCTTTTTTTTTGATCTAGAGAACTTCCAACTTTCTAGTATATTCCGTTCAACGGTTACATGAGCTTTTTTGGTGCCTCCGATTTCAACTACTTGAAACTGAAAAAAGAAACGTCATCGTTCGAGTCAGCATGATGAATTATCTTTGTCTTAAGCGCTTTTTGAATCTTCCAAGATCAACTTACTGAAATCGGAAATTCTGGAAAGACTTTTGTGACTCTTGAACGGAACATGCTAAAAAAATGTAGCTTACGTAGATACAAAAGGAAGCATTTTTCCTATCGATTGATCATATTCCAAGTCAAAATCTAATGGAAAATGGGTTCAGAACATCTTTTTCTTTCTTTTACTTTTTGAGAATGAGAATAGTTATTTAAATAATATCTTACTACTAAATGGATTTTTATTCGGTAGAATAAGTGGTAATGTACCAATAAGTACAGCAACTGTAGCATCCGTAACGTAGCTAAACACAATGATTTAAATGATTATCAAGATAAAATTTGTAATTTTTCAGCTTACTCTTCTCGAAAAATGATTCCCCAACCAGGATAGCTTGAAAAATCACGTGTTACCCAAAGTATAACCATAATAAAAAATAAAATGGTTATTGTATATTCTTGCCAACTGAGACTACCCAATTCTTTATATTGGTTTTTGAGAAGAGATTTTAAATATTTTTGAGATTCTAAACTATTTGGATCCACTTTTATCCACGGTAATAATCTAAAAGAATATTATTTTTTTTTATTAAGATAATATTTGATATATATATATAAGAAATATTACTCTTTACGATTATACAAAAGTTGTAACCATAACCAACAGATGACAAGCATGATTACACCGATTGGTAAGGCGAATAAAAGAAAATTGGTAAAAGAAATGTCAAATGCATGAGATCCTTTGCCATAATATCTAGTTTAAAGAATATAAAAGAAAATTATTTTTAGCAAAAAGATTCATATTATACAAGCATTTACTTATCAGTAAATCCTTTAACAAAAATATTCGGACCAGTTCCGACTAATGTTGCTAAACCACCAATGGCTGCACTGTAGGCTACAGCAATGAGAAAAGCTTTTCAAAAAAAGAAATTGATAATTTCATTTATTGAAATTTTGATTCTATTAAATTAACTATACCGGTTTTAAGTTGTTTATAGTTTACATGATTTGTCGACGTAGAATTTAATACAGTATTTAAGGAACGATCAGTTTGATCACTAGAAAATATATGTTTACATATACTTTAGAAAATAAAGAAGATCATAATGCTATTTAAAAGTTAGAATAGATAAAACTATGTTTAACTATTTCAAAAATCAACTTACTGAATTACTTGTTCATTTAATTCAATGGGAACATTCTCTTGAATTGTCGGCATTTGTTTTATTTGTTCTTCAACACATGTTGTAATGTCAAGCGAGACTTCAAATAAGAATATTGCATATTTATTTAAATTATTAGAATTAGAAATGTTCATACTAGTAGATTCATCAAATACAATCTCTTTCGATTGTCGACGAGCTACAATTTTATCAATTACTGATTTTTCTTGTTGATAATTTTGAAGTTCGTCGATAATGGCAATTGCTGCTGGTATCATGATACTTGTTGCTGCCGAATTGTTGATCCACATACTCAAAAAAGCAGTTACTCCCATCAGTCCAGCCATGCTCCTATTAAGAAATAACAGTCAATTATTTTGATAATATGAAATAAAAATGAATAGTACAAACCATTTGATCGATGTACCAACAATGCTAAGAACAAATAATCCCAATCGTCGATGTAAATGAACATGTTCCATAGCATGAGCTAACATCATGCTTCCGACAAATAATGTTGTTATTTCCTAAGAATATTTCAGTACAATAAACCGATATTATGACAGAGAAGAAAAATAATATTTATTCACTCTAAAATAGTTCAGGCCCACGTTATCACTAGATATAATACCTGCCAATGGAAAGAAAGAAAGTGGCAATATAGATGTGACTGCATATGGCATTGCTTCGGATACCCAATAAACAGTAAGAATAAGTACAATATAAGCGCATCGTGCTTGCTAAAAACAAAGAATTTGAAAAACGAAAGTATACTTCTATATATTACAATGTAAAATATAAATTAGTGCTTACAGCTGTTTCAACAATGAGTGGGAGAGGTAATAGGACAAGTGGTGTGAGAAAGATGATCAATAACCGCCAACAATATTTTATTAGTTTAATTCGATGAGAAATTATAGTCATCGTTTAATTTCTATCGATATTTCGTTGTTCGATATTCGTGTTGCACAATTGTTTATGATATTAGTTGGTCTACTATATGTAATCTCTTTTATACGCGTAAAAGATATTAAACCAAATAGTCATTGTTAGCATTTTTCTTTTGATCGTATTGTTAAGAGTATATAGATAAATACCAAACAGCTTAATTTTGGGCGTATTTTCTTTTATTAAAGCAGAAGATATATTCAAATTTAGGATTAAAACCCACAAGGAGAAAGTACATTTTTTTTCGCTCATGGCAATCAATGTAAGAATAAGATAATCTTTTTTTGACGAAAGAATATATTACTCTTTAAATTAACACATATTCATTTTCATCTAATCAGAGCGTTTAAAATAGTATATTGACGTCGAAATCATGGTTGTTAATAAATCGGACTCAGTAGAGCTGGATTATTTGTAATAAACTATTCTATAAAAGTTTAGATAATATAATTTTTTAGTATCCTTTTCTGAAAAATTCAATATAATGACAAGCTTCGATTTAATATTAAAAACTTGGTATTAATAAAATGAACACATCAGACTTGAAAATAGATTTTTGAAAATTAACTTGCAGTAGAAATCAAAAACTCGAGTAAGCAAAAGAAAAAGAGTTATCAATTAGTTAGGTCATTTTATCATATCAACTAAAATCATCGTCATCGTCTATCACAAT